GCGAATAATTGATAACTCTTCAAAGTATTAGTTAGTCAAATAGCAATAAAGGAACATTCTTAATGAAAAGATAAATTTAATGACATTAAATGATATCTTGTGGGCCGAGCTGCGCTTTATAAATTTTTGCCCGCGCATGCTTCTCTACATCAGACTGCATTTAAGTTTAAACAATTATGCAAATGCATATTAAATTAAATGACCAATTCATAATATCCCTGATATCAGAAAATTGTTTATTCAGTTATCGGCCAGTGCAATGTAAATAAACTTACAGAAAGTGCACATATGGCGTATACGCAATGCTGATAAGCTGAAAAACAAAGATCAACAGCAGTTGACAAGCCAATTCCTAGAGCAGTTTATTAAGGGAGCAACTAGCTGGAGCAAAGCCTATCCCAAGGCTGTGGATTTCCGTAAAAATTATGCCCATGGGCAGTCGCCATGGGCGGGCTGAAATGGTTTCTTCCAGGCATCTTTCAGTCGGAGTCAAATACTTGACTGGGTTGGGTGCTTCCAACATATATTTTGTGCAAATTGTAATTTAAACATTTTGGAGCAGAGCCAAGTAATAATTTGTTTTCCCGACTATTGCCCGTTCTGCCGAGGCTGTCTTTATATTTTTTTCTGTATTTGTTGTATTTCTGTACTTTGAAATTGATGCGCTTCGCTGCACGAAAAACAAAGGAAGCCAAGGAAAAGCCATTCTTATCACATCCTTTGGCTGCTGCTGTGACTGCTCCTTGAGCACAGCATTTTATAGCACTCGAACAACAACGTGAAAGTCAAGTGTTGCAGTTGCGGGCAATTATTTGAAACCCCAGCCAGGGGTCTGACTCCGCGCGGATGTTGTTGTGGGAATTTCTTTTCGAATCGTTTGGCGCAATAAATTCTATTAAAATGCAATTTGAAGGGTTTGTGATTTTAAATAATGCCAAGACAGTGCTGGGTTAATGCAGCAGGCAGTTTTTCTTGCAGTTCCTATCCTTTCTATTGTTGGTTATCCTTGCCCCAGAGATTTCAACTGTGCCACAAATTCGTTTTCGGATTTTCGTTTTACTTTCCATGCCGCTGCAGATGGAAATTTATGCAAGGATGCCCTTCTAGGTGATCCTATGTGTATGTGTAAGTATGCGTGTGTAGGCTATTCATGATATTTATAGCTTATTCGCTGCCGAACCAACACGCCAGGCTAATTGAACTGCCATTGCAATAGAAAATTGACAAAGAAGTTTCAGTTACGCTAATACACTACCTCATAGCTCCAATAAATTTTCAGCACTTTAAGATATTTAGATTTATAATCTATATACATTCAACTGTTTCTGCTTGCTGGAAAATTAACAATTGGCGATCTAAAAAATATGTTGATAGAATTAGGCTATAATTTATATAAAGGTCTGCAGTAGAACTCTCTTCCCTTAGGATCTGACATAATTTTTTTTAATTATTTGTAGCTTTTAGGGTCTTATATATAGTAGTTTTATAGCTCATGGAAGGCCAAATTGTTGCGGTTAGCTCCCTCTAATGTTAACGAATCTTCGCAAAATTTCTCCGCCTTCTGTCGCGTTGGGATTTTTCACTAAATTATTTGACATGTGTTCGCTCAAATAAGGACTCATATTTCGGAGCTCTTTCGCCAATTCGATAATATATTATTACAAAATAGTCAGCTCTTCTCATTTAACTAATACATCTAACTGATCTCGATACAGTAGTTCAAAGCTGATAAGATTTGTAGCATGGTTATATTCGTAAGGGCCAAACAATTTTTTATACAGGAGCATAATTTTCGATCAATTGTTTCTATGAAGTCTTGCACAATAAAACAAAGCTTGGTCATATCTTGATAATATTATTCATTCAATAACAGCTGCTATTAAACATTTTACGTAAAATAGTTTACATGAGGCATTTTTTTCAGCTTATTATACGACCCTCAAACATTTTCAAACACATTTCACTGCTAAAATAAAAATAATAATAATAAATTTATCAATGACCATGAACAAAACTACCGATAAATACAAATGTCCAACATTAACGCTTATCTGAATAGCCAAAGAACAGTTAAATAAATAGATAAATTTATGACAATGTCGCATGAAAATTTATCAAAAATTGGTCCTTTGTTTACTAGATAGTACATAATCGGGATATAAACAAAAATTTGACATTCGTTGTTGTCTTTTATTGAGAACAATTTTAACAATTTTAACAAATAAAAGTGCTCTAATGGTACTCCTTCCTTGAATGAATCTCCTAGTCGGCCAATCACATCCTTATTTATAGCTTCTATATATGTATTATTAATTTCAAAGCAAAAATATTGTTGTTTTTAAAATATTTGGAACTCCAGACTTAAGCCTGTTCGGCTTAAGCCCAGTTTGCAGCCTTGGTATTAAGCAGGTTGCTCAAATTGAAATTTAATTCAATTGCATTGGGCAACTTAAGTCAAAGTTGTGTTAAAGGTGGCCTCTGAATATTATTAATGAGCCCCATAAGCCCAATAAATGGCCAACAATATAGTTATAGTTGTTGTTATGCACGCTGCGGTTGTCCGTGTCGCTGCGTATTTTTTATGGTTATTGTCTTATTGCAATGACCATTAAAATTGGCATTGTTATGGCCATGACTATTGTTGTTCCCGTTGTTCCTGTTGTTGTTGCTGTTGTTGCTGGGTCCCACAGACATTGAATGAAAAGTGCAACAGCAGGCGGCAGGCAGCTGCGATGTCAGCTTAATAATTACAACGCACGCACACACACACACACACACACACAAGCTGCAGTTGCATCTGCAAGCAATTTTAAAATGAAAACCCAGAAGAAAGCGGGAAAAGCTGAAAAACGCAGGGCAAACTGGCAGCCATTTGCACGTCGTCAGTGTCGACACATTAAAATAAATGAGACTTTGCCGTAAGCAGATCTGCTGTTGTTGTTATTGCTGCTTTTAAAATGGCAGAGCATTTTCACGTTTACCATGCGAAATTACGCGAAAATTACAATGCATAAAAGCATCGAGCGATATTCAGCTGAGTTCAGTTGAGCTCAGATAGTTCGCTTAACGGATCCGCTCCGTCCGTCCGTTGACTCTTTACGTATTTGCATTGCATGAATAAAAGTTGCAGGTTGCAAGCGTTCCGCAGGTGGGCAAAGGAGTGCCAATTGGCAGACTGACCTGGTTGTCAGGTTCGTCAGCCTTAATTACATTGAACAACTTCATTGGAGATCCAACGAGCCAAGCTATGTTTGCCATTGCTGGAACTGCTCGTTAATTTTGACCAAATTGTTAATTGAATACTTTGAATAAGGAAAGATTTCATACCCTCGCATACATATAACATTATAGCAATTTATATACATAAACTTGATATTCTACATATAGAGGCCATCTTTGCCCTTCCTTTCTAATTAACTATTGCTACTATATAGATTGTACACGCCTAAAAATTTCAAAAGAATCGGGTCTTAAGCACCCGAGAGAGGATATCGTGCGGATTACGGCATGTTTGTTTTGTAGTCTTAATAAACAACTTAAAAACTAAGAATTTTCCGCCAAAGTATGCAAATTATTGTTATTAAAATTATACGACAGATATATTAAAATTATTTGTATCTGAATGGCCTGGGAATAACAGCTTTCGGCAAAGGCAATGCAACATACATCCGTTCAGCTAGTCGGAGCCTCGAACACGAACTCCCGTTGTTTTTGGAACTTAGTTTGATGTCTTAACTAAATATTTACCCCTACAATGTTTCACAATGTTAAATAACCCTCGCTCTGTATTACGCTGCTTTAAAGCGTCTCAAAATCTTCTTCCGCTGGGCATCAATGGCAGCAACAGCTTTAAAACTCCCACATAAACCATAAACCATAACCCTAACCCAATAAACCACTTTCAGAGGGTGTTCGTTACGTTGACTGTTGCCGCTGCTGGCTTCAATTTCACACCGCCAACAAGTGACAAGCAAACGAACGAACGAACAAACACACACACACACACACACACGCACACAACTATATATACAAACACACAGTGGCAACGCATCAAAGTTGGTTGGCAGCATGCCACAAAAATGCTGCTGGCTACAACAAAAGCAAACGGAAGTCAACAAAGGCGCAATATGGCGAAACGCGAAAGGAAAAACAACAACAGGAGCAGCAGAGAAATGTGATCATAACGTGGGCGTCACACGATTTAACGCCCCGAGAGTAGACTATGAATTTTTATGGTGAAATTTGCCGTTTTTAATTTGGACGCGCCTCAAAAAATAAAATCAAAAAAATAAAAAAAAAAAACACCCACACAGACAAAATACGCAAAAAACTGTCAACAGGAGGCAAAATGGCTGAGGGTATGGTCATATTTTCTGCCCTGGGCTGCCGTGACACCTTCATGGAGTCCATGTCCATGTCAGTCGTGCAATCCCTGCCTGTCCCAACCCCGTAACAAAGCTCCTGTCTTTGCCCCCAGCCGTCGCACCGGATATTTATGGTAAAAATGCAAAATTAATGACGTGTGACTTGAAAATTGTCGCCAAAAAAATGTGCCAAATTAAATTTGGTCTGAGCTCAGGAGCCAAAAGCCAGCGAAGCGTTATATTTCACCACCGCAGCATAAAATTCAATAAAACATTTCAGGCCCAAGCATCGTATTCCATTTACTTGCAACAGTTCCCATCGGATTCAGTCACAAATTCGCTGAAATTTTCAAATGTTTCCGACAACCATCCTTGAATCCTTGGATTGAAATGCAAGCTACGAAAGTATCTGATTCTTTCAAAGCGCCATGTTTTTACCATATTCCGAATGTCTTGCTCTTTACACTCTCAGCATAAAATTATTGAAATTGTTTAAGCACTACTCCAGCAGAGTAGTGTGGATCAGCAGTGGATCCCTTCTCGACTGCTTATTGAACTTTTCTCTTCCGTCGCTCTGTTGTTGGCTGCAATATCATCTGAAATTCGAAATCAAATCCGATAACAGATCGCAAATGGTTTGCCTTTTGATAAGATTACTTATTTTGCCTTATTTATTTATATAATATAATTATTTTCAAAATAATTTTCTATAATTTTTATCGAAAAAGTAAGAAAAGAATTGGAAATATTGAAGGGCTAATTCGAATCGGCTATATTCTCAAATTGTGATCTTTTGTTTTCGTTTTTATGAACTCATCAGATTTATGGACTATAAATATAAAATCTAGAGACTTTAAATTTGGAATGTAGGTTCTCCTACCGATACCTTTTTTACTAACCCAAAATCAATTAGATTCGAAAGCCAGAGAAACCAAATCTATTAAGCTTGACTATATCTTAGCTTGGTACTTGTGGTACTTGGTACACTCTCCAGATAGTCTAAAATATCATAATCGCCACTTTGACAGTACTGTAGGGATGCAGAACTGGTTTCTAAAATTTTACGTTTTTCCTACAGGAGAAAAAGAATAAAAAATTTCTGGACCCGAAATACAACTATTGAAGATGTTATAGTACATTAACTAGAGCTTTCTAGGCACATTCTCCTTAAACTGCCCCATAACATTACCGGGTGGATTATAGTTGCAAACCACCCAGGTACGATCAGCCCTGCAAAAGGAACAATTATAAAATATATTGGCAACTAAGGTCTCTGTAGCTTGTCTAATCCACCTGCGAGCCACACCAGAGCCCATCTCCGTACAGGCTTTCCAGATCAACTGTGTAAAATGACCAGAGGTGGGCGTAAAATCGGGCTTATCAAAGTTAAAGGCATTGATCTCGCGGTACCACATGTCCACGGGCAAATCGCCAGTTACATCCATTCCACCAGATAGAAATATATTTTCGCCATATTTGGGCTGTGGACGATGCTCCATTGCGTTCCTATCACGCAGGTGCTGTGGATCAGTAGGAATCGGTCAAGACTATCGATTAGATAAAAGGCGAACCCATCCGTACATTGGCCCAATCCTGAGCATACTTGTTGAGCTCGTTGTTAATCTTTAACTCGGGGCAGCCGTGCATCTTCCGATATTTGTTGGTGGTGGTGAACACATCATGCAGGAATTTCTCATTGTTAGCTTTTGTATCTTGGCCAACAGGTCCGGGCGTACGCTCATGCGTTTTAGGTATCGGCGGCGGTCTCCTGGCCATGTATATTTTCGGATGCACCCAGGTCCAGAAATCTAATCAACAACTTTTGAATGCTAAACTAATTTCATATTTCCTATTTATTTTTGACAATGCGAAACACAAATAAGTTTTGTCAAGTTCAGAAAGGAGTTTCGGATAATAAATTTGATGATGATTTAAGATGAATCAGTTGTGAAATGCAGAGAGTTAAGGAACCGCCACACACATTTGAATTTACTCTGTTTTAATGTTAGGGTCCATGTCTTCTAATATACCCTATACCTATTGAAAATATAACAGGTAGAAGGAGACTTTCCCGATCACACAAGGTATTAATTTTCTGACATTTTTCAATAAAGTCAGTAGAAGAAAATCCTCGGACTTTAGCTGCAATAACTTTTGCAGAGCTTACGTTATGTCGCTTGCCAAAAGTACTAGAAATTTTATGTAATTCAATTTTGATGACAATTTCCAGTATTTTGCAAATTGTTCAACTAATGTACTTGTTCTTGCTATTTCAGAAGGGGTTTGCCAATTTTTAAATTAGCTTAGGTTAGGCTGAATTATCTTTATAACCCTTTTGTTTCCGACTGAAGCTAATAATGTGTCCCATATTTAAGTAAGGGTATTATCATTTTGATTGATATCCAGCGGGTGAAACCGGAAACTCTCATCATTCAGCCATAGATTAGATATTTCACAAACTCCAAATGACGAGAAGCTGTCAGTTGCTCAGCCAACTCGGATATCAGTCACTGGCAGCCATATAATGATTGGATTAACCCACATGACGTATGAGTGATGTATGAACATTTGCATTAGCATTGCCTCGCTACGGTTATTAATGAGTTGCCGTTTCTTTCCACGACTCCAATGTGGCAGCCACAGCTGGGCAATACTAATTGCCAATAGAGTGAAGTAAAGTGACTTAAAGTCAGTTTCAGATGTTGCAGGCCACATTTCGAACATCAATTATTTGCTTTAAGAAGGGAAACTAGCGACAGTCCGAGTTGCAAACAGTTCTGCGTTTGTAAATCAACAACATTATCTTTCGTGTTCTGGTCAAGGATTAAATAACCATGGAGGAGTAAATCACAAAATTCTGTTAAGCTGGTTTATTTGTTCCAATTCACTTTTCCAAATGTTCCACTAGATTCACAAAAAAAAAAACAGAAACAGAAACCTTTTTTCCTTGGAACGCGACTTTTCAACGCACTTTTACCAAATCGTTGAGAGGTTGGGCCGTTCCGTTTAGGGCTATAAAGGTATAAATACATTTATCCATGTCAATGCAATTTCAAAACTGTCATTTAGGCAAATGTCATTAGGTACCACTTTTATTTTGATTTAGCCTGAGCCATAAGTGTTAATCCTACTTCCGTATTTTTGTGTTTGTGTTATTTTTGATTATGTTGTTCACTATGTTAATCATTTGATTGATTATTTGAATCATCGATTTGGGCAGTGGACATTCACTTTAAGCGCCGACCTGTCAGCCGTTTCAGCTTAAAGTCAGTCATTTGATTTAACTCGCCCATTACGACAACTCAAATGCGATTCGCATCGGTGGACACGCGTTTCAATTCTCACTCACAATATATTTGCGGCACAGAATGCCGCATTCAAAGCGTTAAACCAAAACCGTCGTTACTTTATGTCGATTTAATTAATTTCGCAAATTTGGTTTTCGCTTATTTATGTATTGTACGGGTAAACGTATAAATAAATATAAATAGAAATATATGTATGTACATATACTTTCGGAATACATTTTGTTTTTGTGCTGCGTTTTAATGACAACCGCAGCATCTGTTGCCGGATGCACTCGATTGCATATGCACGGCAATTGTACGGGAATTCTACGGCCTGTTCAGGCATTGAAAATGCCAAACAATTAAAGCTAACTGCACAGAATTTCCATTGTATTTATTTTTTAATACATAACTGAAATTGGGTGGGCCGAGAAAAACACGTATTTGTACGTATAAATAGCAAATTAAACAGGATTTCGAAGCTATGCTATATGATTAGCCTAAAAAAGTCATTATGTTCAATGAATATATCTGCATTTGAGGATTAACAGGATTTGCATTGCTTCCACAACGTTAAGAGAGTCGAGGATAAACTGCACCTAGTAAATAAGTATATTCCATCACATTAGTTTTAAGTCCAATTCGCTTTGCATATTCATAATAAAATATTTCCTTTTAACCCTTAAATCGTATATTGCATTGTATTGTTTGCGTTTATAAAGTACTGACGCTCCCAACTTTAGGAAGCTTGCAATTGCTGAGTTTGAATTGAAATATATTTATTTGAAAGAAAGGATTTTTATATCGACTGCGCTCGGCGTCCTTTCTTACAATATCGTGTCAGCAAAAAACCATTAAGTCCATATTTTCAAATATTTAACTTCTTCATATTAGTATATTCAACATATACCAGACAAATTTAAGGTCCACTCAAGGTTCAAAAGCACTCTTCCACATCCATTCCGCCGTATAGCGAAAGCAAAAACAGAAACGTACAGCGATTGACGGGACGCGCACTTTTACGCAAGTTTATTGCATCAGAACTCAAAGCCAATAAAACGGGGCCAGTCACTTAGCTGCAGGCGGGTATTCGAGCCGGATATCGAGCTGATAGGTGGGCCGGTCTCCCGTAGCCTGTAGCTGCACTTGTTAACCAGCTCAATTGAATAGACAAAGAGGGCCACTCACTTCGGTTCAGGTCATGCAACGCCCACGCCCAGAATCAGGCACCTTTCAAAGGCTCAGGCAAACAGCAAATGCGAGCCAGTACTGTAACACCTTTTTCCAGTGGCTACACCGGCCAAGGGGGCAGGGGTAGAGGGTGTGGTAACTGCAGCTGCAGTGGCTGCCGCCGCCGAAGTTGGTAATCCACTTTTGCCGCATTCGCTTCTTGCTGCGTTCATTTGAGCTGCCAAACATTTTAGCTTTTATTGCCCAAAGGGGCAAAAATATGGCAACACACAACCAGCCCACTCACTCACAAGCTTCCCCCTCTCCTCGTCTACTCACTTCTTCTGCTCGCTCACACGGCGTAAATGCAATTTCCAAAAATACTCCGTGTCACTCCAAAAAGTCCGCTATGAAAAACACGGAACATGGCACATAAAAATTGTAGTTTTTTATAGGCAGCTTTTTTCTTTAAAAAGTCGATTGGAAATCGGTTCGAAAGATTTTTCTGGTCATGTGCGAATGGAACGAATGGAGAACGTATCTCTAAGCACATTAACAACCTTTTTTTTTGTTGGCCGAAAAGTTTTAAGTGTCGTAAACGTTTTCGAACTGAACTATTCTGTTTTTAGACTGCTATCAATAAAGGATCGAGTGTTTTTACAATTGAAGTTGCTAAAGTACTTTTGATTTATATGGAGTTTAAATCAATCAATAAAAGCCAATCCCATCAGGATTCAGGTTAAGATAATACGCTTCGGTCGGTACCCTCGGCACTTTGTTAGGGAAATGATTCTTGATTAACTACGGTGTGTACCTTAAATATTTCAAATTTGAGAAATAAACAATTGAATACTTTTTGAAATATTTGTTTAATTTTAGAGGTAACGGGGAAGTATCTTTAATCTGTGTATGTTATACGCGCATCTACATATCAAGGTTAATGCATCTAGCTATTTCAATTTACTAGCTATGCTTATAAAACCAAATCTGTAAATCGATATTTATCGATATTATAGGTAGAATGGAGAAGACATTTAAAAAATGGCAAGCTCACTCAGCGGTTGGTATACTTATATATATGGACAGGCAAGCATGACTAGATCGGCCAGCAGACCTGATTAAGAATATGGTAGAATATGGTCGTTATATAAATTTCCAAGAAATCAGTGTACCTTTCCTTTTACCAATTTTGAATGTGTTCAGGGTATAAAAACCGAAGCAATGATTGATTGATTATTCGACCATTTATCATTGAGAATCTAAATTTATGAATTATTTTGCTGAATTATCTAGATTTATAGTTTTATGAAATGTGTAGTTAAATTCAACATCTTGAATGATTTGTATAAACTTTATCGTTTAAATAAATTTCAGATATTTCACAAGCTGAGAGTGTCAAAAATGTATTCATTTCTTGTTGCCAGCTTAGGAAATTGTAAAATAAATTGAAATACAAGATGGGCATTTATCATTCCCACATTTCATCCAGCTTGTACGAGAGAGCTGAGTTGCATGACAGCAGCTGAGGCAAATTTCCAGTTGCGCCCCGAGGAAGTGGGAAGAGCCCGAAAAGCGACGCAACATAAAACTATCAACAAAATGCAGCTGAATTAAAATATTTATGTATTGTACGTGAGCCTCATGCTTATGTTCTATCATGTTGCCATGTTGCCTGAGACGGGGAGATGTGACTCTCTTCCTGTTGCTTCTGGCAATTTTGGCTGCATGAGAAATGGCGCCTCATATGAAATGCTAAAATTTTTGGATAGCCGAAAATGTGTGTGCAAATTTGTTTATTGTTTTAATAAATGTCAACATTCGGAAATTGCCAGCAATTAAAGACACGCTCCGTGACCCTGCCATTGCAACAGTTGCAGCATCTGCAGCAGCTGCCACAGCTTGTGGCAATCACACATTGCGTATGATAAATGCCGACTGCCAAAATATCGAAATGCTGCCATCGACTGCATAAAACTTGCCAAAACTCCTTTTGTGGCCAGGCAAAACCAAAACCAGAACCAGAACCAAACCCAAGAACTTGCGACCCGCACAATGCAATGACATGATTTATTACCGCTTCCGGAACGCAATGGATATTTTCCCTATGCCAGCGATGGGCACATTTCGTGTACTATTTAGTGTCACGAAAACTCACAACACAAGAAAAGGATCTTGTTGAAGGATCGGATTTGCTGCGAATATTAAGTTTCTAAATGTAGGAATAATTGAATCCGATTTGAATAATATTGGATGTTCAAAACCATGTGGATGTTCTAATTTTGTAATTAAATGTGTATCGCCTAGAAAACAATAAAGGAATTTAAATGAATGCACCCCATATGTTCTTATGTATAAGCCCTTGTCTGTCAATAAATAGTTCTATTGTAATGTGTTAAAATACTGTCAAGGCTTCAAGCCAGTTTTGAACAGGACCATTTTGTAGACGGAATTCCATCTTATAATACTCTGAACCTTCTCAAAGTGGGTAGAAAGGGCAGAAGATGCTCCTATTTCCCAAAAAGCATCGATAATTTTCCCACTAACCAAGCAATTAATACAAATGACATCATTTTTGTTGTACCTTATCTCTAATGCTTCAAGAACTGGAGTCACAAAATCTGACACATTGTATAGTATACACAGATTAAGTATATGTTATCATTTCCATACCGCAAAATAATGAGACCCTCACAACAATTTTGAGCCGTATGTTAATTATGTTCTCTTTTTTGCGAATATACGAATACTCTGTGGCATATTTAGATTTACTCTAGAAAATTCTACTAAGATCGGTTAGGATCTTAAGGATAAATCTGTACACATGCATATATATGAACTTATTTTTTTTTAAATATTTGAGGGACACCACGCCCTTAAGATAAGAATGAATGGGGCTAACAAATTTAATTTATTTAACCATATGTGGAAGACATCCATTTGGATAGAGATCAATATAGTGCACAGTGCAAATACAAAATTTTGAAATTTATGAAAAGGTAAGGAACGGTAAGAATAGAAAAAAGGTTTACGAACCGTGCTTAGTGCAAATTAAATCGGAAACTTTCAAAATTTAAAGGAAAAAATTAAATTTTTAGCAAAGAAGTAAACTTTATTGGGTTGTTTTACCCATATTTCATGAATCGAACTTAGTTTTTGAAAAGGTATTTTTGTTCAGACATAAAAAGGCTCGGAACATTTGGAAAGCCAGTAGCTTATCAGTTAAGGTTCGTGTCATGTTGTGCCAGAAAAGTGTTGTTCATCTCTAGCTCTATTCTATAGAAGAGTTGATTTTGATAGGGCGTGGGCTACGAGGTAATGTGGGAGTTTGGGCAAAGGGCGCTTATGGCCAACCATTTATTTAACGTATGCGCAATTTTCATTTCATCTTTTTTATCGGTTTTTTGATCATTTTTACTCACATCGTGCAGCGATTTGTTCGATTGGAAAAATTGAATTATATACTTTTGATGAGCATAATAAAAAGTGGCAGCTGCATTGGTGCGGTGCAAAAAAAAATGAATCACCAATTTGGCAGGCGGTTTTCCTTGTTTTTCGTAACCGGAAAGGAGGCCAATTGCAAGCAGAATGTTGAAAACGCGTTGACCATAAATACATAAAATGTATCCAACCGTTGATTTAGAGGATATAACCGCCGAACAACATGACTATAATATATAAGTGATATATTCATTTTGTATCAATACAAAAACTCATTTTCGACCTTTGTTTATGTATTAAATACTAGCGAGTATTATCCGGCCTTGCCTGTTTTGTGCTACAGATTTTAAACATTACCTTTCCACCAATTACACGCCTGGGGATAATTGAAATCTAACCGTACCATCTTGATCTCCACTTCTATTTCAAAATATGTTTAAAATACATCAAATAAAGAAACAAATGTTGGAATCAGCAGCTTGCGCGTATGTAAGTCTTGTGGTGAGAATCTTGAAGCCGAAAAACAAACTTTCGTTGACACGCATTTTTCATCCACAAGCCGTGAGTTTTGCAAAACCGAATCAAAAAACTTCTATCAAAGAACTTTGCAAATGAGTTTTAAGCCGATAAACCGAACAAATTATTTGCAAACTTTCTGAAAATTGACCAAAGTTTCGGATGGTATTTTCAAATGTACCGAAACACGGATCCAAATCGGACAAAACTTAATAATTTGCTAAAAAAAAAATCGTGCATCGCATTTCCGCCGAGCATGCTTGTACTCTGCAAAAAGTGAGAAACACACACGAAAAAATATCTTTAAAAACTAGCTTGAGGCCGATCGGTAAACAAAAAAGTTTCAAACAATTTTTTTTACGATTTTTCCATACTTGCGGGTGGAATTTCCAAAAGCCCCGTCTTATCGTAGTCCTACACCACATAAGGTAACTACAGTGAGCTTCATAGGGTTGTGCGTTGGTCACCAATCTTCATCTTCATCCTTTTAATAAGATTTCGTTTATATTTTATGTTCATATGTCCTTCAGATCGACTTAGCTTGTTGTCCTTGTCAAAGAGTTCAGAATTTAAATTTTAGCAAGAATAACATAACATAATACAGAATTACTTTCAATTTTGTCAAATAAAAATGAAAGTTGTAAAATGAATTAAGCTTTTTTATTTGTGGGCCTGATCATCATTTGAACAAATTTAAGCGATTCCTTGTGCCACTTAAACCAATCAATGCCATAAAGTTGATCAAGTCTAGTCGTCCTGTATTCTCCATTTAGATTGCTACATTTAGCACACAAGTTAATACTTTTAAGTGATTTTACTTGATGTTTTATATAAGTTACCTGGTATAGCATTTATGAAACCACCACCCCGATTTATATTCTTGTGCGCAATGTTGACTGCCAGTATCGTGATCTTTATCAGGTGTTGAGAACTCCATATTAATATGTCCAGCCATTCCATCGTCTGCGTTTCCCGAATACTTTCCCAATGATTTTAACTTAAAGTTTTCCTCCTCCCTACCAATGAGGAATTTACTGTACCGCGCATATCGAACTTGATTATTAAAATCTTTTAGATATATATACAATTCGTGTGGCTGCGATTGGGTCAATAAATAGAGTTTTTCAAGTCCTATGAAAAACTCTGCGTGCAAATTTCCGAACCCCAACCGATAGTCTTCCCAAGTGCGATTAAAGTTTTCAGTCCCATCCTGACGGCGCTGAACTACCATCCAGCCGGAGCCAGCCAGACTCGAATCACAGGGCACGGCAAAGAAGCTCGTTCCAGGCACTTTTATGTCATATATATTTGTCAGCTTACCAATGCAGCTTGAATCTAAATTTTCTATGATTTTTGTGTTCTGTTCTAATAGTGACTTTTCTAGTTCTTTAATTTTGGCTGAATTCGCTATATCTCGAGCTTTAAGTTCCAATATTTCTGAATCTCTGTTCCTTAGCTCTGTGTTTAATTGAGCTTCATTATTATTTTTTGCAAATATCATATATTGAATTTTATCCACAAGGACCTCATTTGAGTCTTTCAGCTCATTATTGGTCAAGCAATTGTTTGTGTGTTTATTACTTAATTCTATTTGGCTCTTTAACATTTTAATAGTTGCTTTAAGGTTCTGAATCTTATCAATTAGTTCGCTGAACTGATTTTCTTTCGACCGAATAGAGGCAGCATATTGCAAAAGCGGCTTGACTATGCCGTAGCAATAGCCCCCGCATTGCTCATCCAACTTCTTGGAGACAGCGCAATGCTGAAATATATTAACTCATTGGTTAACAATCATAGTTCATGCTCAAAGTAATTGGAAAACTTACGGGATTTTTTAGTAACTCGCTGTTTACCACTTGCAATGACGTTATCAATAATATGAACAATAGTTTTAGGTATATGTACATTTTGTATAAACAATCCGAAACTCGCAAACCGCGTTCTATTCAGCAAATTTGCAACTGAAATGTATGCAAGCGCGTACTGCAAAATGAAAGCTCATATATTAAATGATATAGTTTCTTATCAGACTCTTAGGTTAAAGTTGAGCTATAATTGATATGCAGGGTGTGCATCTGGTGATTTTTCTGTTATCAATTAAATAATATATATTCCATTTCGCGTATATGGACCAATAAGAAGGAAGAGTAAGCTAATCGCGAATGTTCGGGTTAAAGATTGCCTGAGTAACTTGCAAAGGGTACTTTACGACAAAATATATACACTCATAAAAATATGCATGCTGTGCTCTTTATACGCGCCCGCTGACAATCCATATTCGCCGATTTACTAATATTATAAAATACCACGTAAAATGTGAATTAATAAAGATTTATCAATTGCAGTTTGCCACATACAACTTGAGTCATACATACATACATACATACATACAACTATACTAATTTTATGATGGAAGTCATTGTAACAATCATCGTTACTGGTAAATGAAAATCTGTGATACTTTCTTTTTTTGTAATCGGCTTTAGTTTATAAAAATTCTTGAATAGTGGATCCGTAGATTCCATTGCTCGACAATAAATGTAACTCACATTGTTTAAACGGTAATTTTGTTTTGCAGGGAAACGTCTATCAGACAAAACAGAAAAGAGAAAGCTAAGATGCCGCTGTTTCTGAAAGGAATTTTTAAATTCACATAAAATTGAAACTCTTTAAAAGCTTATCATCAATACTATTTCTTGGTGCAATTATACATACTTATATATACCTTCTTCAGTATTCTTACCTCTTTCGTTTACCCTTTGTTTATCGTCTTGAATAATCAGGCTTGAATTTCGAGTTTCCGTGCAGCCTCTCTTCTCTTATACTGAGTGTCATCTACTTGCCATTTATCAATACGAATTCCATACGATTTTTTAGAAGAACTCACGGTTTATTGGAGTGGGATTGAATGATCATTTTCTGATTGCTTGAGTGAATATCAGAATTTCGTACTCTATTTGTTGTCTTATGTTTATGTGTAGTAATGGGTAATGTACTTAATCTATAGGATCACATATTTCGTGCGCAATGCAGTAAGTTCTTTATGCGTAGCATATTTTCCTTAACTTTGCTTAAAAGGATCATTTTTACTTAATAATAAGTATTACAAGTCAGAATACAGTCAAACAAGTATGTGGGACAAATACAGGAAAGCATTTGCCATGCCAAGCATTGCAAGATATTACCTTATTACCTAACTTGTTTCCAGCTGGTCAACTCTTTGACTAGTTGTTGTTACCATCACAGAAAGAAAAACATTGAAGGGAAACGCAGCAGTTCTCCAAATGTGCTTTATTGGGATGCAATTAGGTAGAGCACAGATGATAACATTCCCCTTCCTTTCAAGAGAACCTGGTATGTAGTTTGAATGTAAACTTATTTCTGTGTTTATTCGCTTTGTGCGCGCAATAATTTTCTTCGTCTGCTTTTTAACTTGCAAACGTTAACGAGGAAGTGAACAACCCGACCCCCTTCCTTTCGCAATGTCCCTTGAAGTTTCCTGCAATTTGCATATAATTAAAAATTAAAGTTTGACCCAAACTTATTTCCTGATTACCGTGCAAGCAATCACTATTGGAGCCATATATACATATATTTATATATATATTTTTACATTTTACATATATATTTTTATCACGCTTAACATGTCTGGCTCCCAGCTTGCAAAAAGAAAATATTTATTGAAGCACAATAAATTTGTAAGACTACAACACACAGCTAAGAGATACCCTGCACACCAATACAAACAAGCAGAGAAGCACACAAACGGGGCTTTCAATGCTAAAATAAAATAAATTAATCTGGTTGAGGTATGCGACAACCTAATGGCTGTTCTATTTCTAAAAATCTCTTTTTATACGTGTTTCCAGCGTTTTATAAAATAACTTTGCATGGGAAAAAGGTGCGTCCGGGGTTATCTAGGGATATTTTCAAGTTAGTCCAACCAGCTTCAAACTTATTTTCTAAGATAAACATAGTAAAATAATGAAAACGTTTGTAAGGTTTGCGCCTCAGGCAAAACGTAAGCGAAAACGGTTGATTAGAGCGTTTTCTTTTGCATCCTTCAAAACTTTAAATTGGTAAATACATATCAATGTAAATACATTTTGAATAAGATTCATAGATTACATAGAAAATCCACTCCGGCAATGCTGGGTAACAACTTCTACCATATGTAAGCATACAATGGTGTATCCCTTATATATCAAACATGATAGTCATCCAACTCACAGTTTTTTACATTTCATGTTATTCCTATGTTTTTCATTGTCATCTGTCATATTCTTGGTAGTGGGCGTAAGTATAGAGAGCTTTATTCTATCGCTCGTTGCTGACTTTGCGACTGGTCAAAAAAAATGCAAGCTGCATTAATCATACGCCTCGTGGGTGCACTTGAAATGTGAATTTTTGCTGAAACGCTTAAAAAAAAATCGAGCATCCATCAAATTAATGGAATATCATATTTGCCAAGCCTTGAGCTCCAACAAATTTGTTTATAAAGCTAAAAATGTTATCGACTCCACGTCGCATTTATTATTATTACTTTTTGTTGTTGTTGGCGATGTCGGGGCTGTTGTTGCTGTTGCTGTGAGTTTTTAATAGAATTACTTTCCAGACTTGTGAACAACAAACTGAAAAGTGGCCCGTGGCTGATGTTGTCGCCACGCCCCCTTACTATCGACTATGAGGCGCACAAAAGCAATTTCAAATGCCAGTGAAAAATGCTGCTGACTCATAACTGGCTGGGTTCCTCCCTTCTCCAACAAACCCCCTCGCGCCATACACATGCGGCCAAGCAACTTTGTTGAAGATTTTATTGAATTAAGCCAATTCGGTATGCATGTGAACGCCAAGCCCCAAAACCTCTTCACGTTCAGTCCCCGGGGCTGCGGATGATGTGACTCAAATTTCAAGGAGTAACGCAAAATTCCATACACGTGGCCCCCAAAACCTGGTCCATTAAAACGTTTTTCAATCCACACATTGCAAGCAGCCATGTATCTAACGGCTCTTCTAAGGTGGCAATGTGCATTTGACCCCGGCCGTTGACCAGTGTCAAGTTTGGCAGGGGGCCAGGTGCCGATTGAGCTAATTCTGCAGGTGCTTTCGTCGAGTTGACGCCTGTGCAGGTCCGAGCTGGCGGGGTGGACCCCATCGCTTTGCGTGTGCCCAATTAAACCAAACCAAGAGCCAGCAAAGCATCATCCAATGCACTTGGCATTCAAAATGCTTAAGTGGGCATGGTAGAAATTGAATGAAAGCAGCATCAGCATCTGCTACAGATCTGCATCTGCATGCGCATCTAAAGCAACGTTAAACTAAATTGGCTAAAATGCCTGAATTCCTCCTCATAGTCAGGCGGGCCAATCTGTCCACAAATCTTTTGCCTTCCGCCACCCCTCTAACGCCCAACGGCCTTTGCTGGCAAATTGAAATGAAAAGCGCGCCGCGGATTGTTGGCTTTGTTCGATGGCTGGCGAAGTTGGCTGCTTGTTGATAAAGATATGACCGCAACATACAAACTACCTCAAAAGACCACGTTCTGAAAAACGTTTTCATCAGCTATTCTCTTCGAGGAAAAGAGATGAAAAAAAAGTATGCTTAACTAAGATACTGAGAAGTTGTCTATATAAAAAGAGTTGAAATTCGTCTTCTATGCGTTACATATTTCCTGTGAAAATAATAACACCCTCATTAGGGTATACAAAAAAGATACATTTTCAGTGAAGTATTTCTGAAGTATTTCTTGGTAAGTCCTAATGTAGACGGCATAAAGTTAATAGCTTTAAACGATAAATATGTAAAATATTAATAGTCTAAGATATGTCAGACTACTTTTAAAGCATTCGATAACTAAATTCTATTAAAATGCCAGTCATACAAACGTGTTAAAACTCGTCTTCTATGCATTACATATTTCCTGTGAAAATAATAATAATGGTGTTTTTTCACACGTTAGATATTCTGAAGATTTCTTAGGAAGGAAAACAATTGAGTGGCATCCACAAGTAAAAAGCATAAAGTTGATAGCTCTAAACGAGAAATGCGTAAAATATGAATAGTCTAAGATAAGTCTGGCTACTTTTAAAGCTTTCGAAATCTGAATTCTATTAAAATTCCAGTATAGTGCAATGATGTATTACCAGTGCGTCAATGCTTTCGACTATAAAAGCGAATTGTCTTGCCAGTATGTCACAAACAATCTATAAACTTAGTGTGAAAAATGTGTTTCAAGTGTGTTCTGCTGCTTTTGACAACCACTCTAGTGGCTGCCCACCTGGAGCCGGCTTTAAATGGATCCTTTACGAGCAATCGCATTATTGGTGGCTCGAATGAAGTCATCGAGAACGCACCCTGGCAGATCTCGCTGCAATTTCTTGGGAGGCACGTCTGCGGGGGTTCCATCTACAGCGAAGAAATCATTGTAACTGCTGCACATTGTGTTTCAGGTAGGGCCCATACGGATTTAAGAGTCCGGGTTGGTTCTACTTACCATAACTCGGGTGGCACTTTGGTCGGGGTAGCCAGAACTCTCAGTCATGAACGCTTTAACCAACCACCATATGCAAATGATATAGCCGTAATACGCCTAAGTACGCCCCTCACTTTCGGAAGAAGCGTGCAGCCCATTGCCCTGGCTAGGACAACTCCTGGCAGAAAAACTTCCGCAACAGTAACCGGTTGGGGATTCCGTAAAAAGCTGCCCGTGTCACCAACGCAATTGCAAAGCGTGAAACTTCGAATTATGAGCCACAAACTATGCTGGAAAATAAACTTTGGGATAATAACTAATGATATGGTCTGCGCCTTTGATTGGAAGAAAGGCGCTTGCAATGGTGACTCTGGTGGTCCGCTAGTTGTCAATAGAGAACTTGTGGGCGTTGTTTCTTTTGGAAAGTTTATGTGCTTTGGTCCCACTGTTTTTGCCAATGTGGCTGTGCAACACGATTGGATTTTAGAGGCGGTCAAAGTGATTTCAAAACAAGATTCAACCGCGATACCTTCAACAAGGCCAACAACAACAGAGTCTTCTACAACAACTACTACGAAAGGGCCGTCAACTACTACTGCTACTACGAAAGAGCCTACTACTACTACTACTACTACTACTTCTACTACTACTACTACTACGGAAACACCTTCAACTACTCCTAAGACAGAACCTTTAACTAAAACTACTCCTATGGCAACTCCATTACCTACAGGCTTATCTGTTACTACTGCTACAGAGGATGTTACAGAATCATCTACTATTACGACAACTTTAACATCATTAACAACAGAAACAACGACCGTCAAAGTTTCTCATCAGGAAGAATAGCACTATTGGGAATCAAAATATGATGGACATGTATCTTACCGAATAGAGCAAAAATTTGAAAGATAATATGTACAAAATGATAAAACAAAAATAAACTAATCACATATATTTGTTTTGAAATATTAATTACGGATATATGTAAACATTTTCATCTCAAGAAGCCTAACAATTTTGTACACCTCAAACTATCAAAAACAATCTATTATTTTGTTGCTGTTCGTTATATTGCGTTAATTAAAAGCTTTTAGTTTCATTACTTTTAATATTAAAACTTCTAAAATTTCAAACATTATACACAAATAGTAAATGTATTTAATTTAATTACAATAAATTAACTTGTTCTTATTAAAATAATCAAAATTATAAAAACCAACTTTTAAACTTCGAACTAATACCTGATTGAACAGATGTGGAAAACCAAGTTCACCAAACAGTTTGCAATCGAAAGCGTTTGCTGGAACTCGTGTAGCTGGTATATTGGAGGTAAATGGGATTTCGGGAACTCATAGAAATCCATTCATTCCGTGAATCGCAAATGCGACGCATTCAAAGCACCGCAAACTATTGGCTTGCCCCTGGATATGCGCAGCCATTTCCGTCGCAGTTGCATGCAACATCCGCCCATGAGACGGCCACAGCTGTTGGGTTTATGGACGGCTCCATACATTTATCTGCACGAACTGCTCCCCTCCGCAGCTTTGTCTGCGTGTTGAAAATTCAAATGAAGCTGACTTTAAATTGATGCTGGTAAATTTGACTGCGCCAATGCGCAATTTATGACTATTTCATGCCAATTTTAATTTGCGCAGTCGGCGTCCGCTTTAAAATGGACCCTTAATTCAACTCGTAGTGCCATGGTTTTGGGCCTGGGCCTAGCATTACGATAGGCATTGGGACCTGTATTGTGGCGGCTCATTAATGCCACGCACGTTGCCATGGCAAGGGATGAAAGATACGGAACGCTAATAAAACAAAAATGGAAAACATATAAATCAGTGTCCTTGGCACGTGTTGCGAACGCCGTCGATGACATTACCCAAGGCACTGTGCGGCACCAGTTGCCAGTTGCCAGTTGCCGGGTGGCAGGTGCGCCTGGGTCAACCTGCAGGGACAACTGCCTCGCCTTGTGCGCCGTCACGTTGTAAATCTCGTGAGAACAAACACAGAAGACAACAGCACGGCAGACGGCGACACAACACGCGTGCTTAGCCATATTCCCCATATCCATTTACATACACACATGCATTGTCTGTCACACAGGCCCAAAAGGCGACAATCCGCACGATTGCATTATAAATTAAAAAGATGTCAACGCAGCAAATCAACAGCTGCGTCCAAGCAGAAGAGCTCGACAAAACTAGAAAACTGCAGCAAAACTGTAGAAAATACAATTTCGTACAAAATGGCACCAAAATTTAAGTCAAATCAAAGTTAAAAATTGTTAATATTTTAAATATTCTTTTGCAGAGCTTGCAAGCTTAGGTATACATGTATCAAAACACTTTCTACATTTTAATTTTCGATTACTATTTTTATTAGACTTCTTAAATATATGTATTAAAGCAACCATCAATATTATTATTTATAGCTATTTGATATTGATATCTATATATACTATTCCACACCCCTCTCGCCTACGCTAAATAGTTATAAATCAGATAAATAAATCAATTGGAATTACCCACCAATTAAGCAACAATTTTAAATAAATTGTCTTTTTGAGAATATACGACTATTCTATATATCATCAAGATCGGTTAAGAAACACAGAAGCTATTAAGAAATCCGAGGGGCTAATTTTTTATTGGTAGGTCACGTGCAGCTAGCGCAAATGCATACACATAAATAGAACTGCAATTATGATTGGATCGTACACCGTGCTTTAAAGTATATACTTATAAATATTAAAATGTATACTTATACATTTTTATTAACAACAGAAAGTGCCCTAGTCGCTAGGGTCCGATTAGCATATACCCCGAGTAGTAGTATATACCGACCTACAATTGTAGGCTTAAGTTTTCTAGCTTCCTTCTATAAATACATACACAAAAACACACACACGCACACATCGTTTCCTGCCACAGTTCTTACAATAGTAATTCGTGAAAAGAATTCAATTAATTATATACTAAGAAATTAAATACATTCATCGAGTATCCTAAAGCAAGCTCAATTTAAATATTCTCTGGCTCCCCTGAACACAGGTCTCGAAATTGCAGCCAAATAATGCCTTTTCTTAAGTTGCACAGACAGTTGCGCCCTCTGCAAAACTAAGTTTCGCAACGTCTGGCAACTATTTGCATGCTTGTTGTGTGCAAGTGTGGAGAAGTTTCTAATATCTGCGGAGCTTAATGTCTGTTTGGGCAGAAAGCTTTCCAAGCCATTGGATATTGCAAACTATGCAATATAATCATAATCGTATGATATATGTCCAATCTCTGCAGCAAAGTTTTCAAAATTGCTCGTTCGCCAGACCCAGTTAAGGAGTTAGCTAAAGCATACAAAAAGACAGAACCCCGGGAGCTGTGCTAAGCCTTGCCGAGCTTCGCACTCTGGAGAGTCAATTTCCAGCGATTAAATTAAGAATGCATAACTTGCAGGGTTAACAGCGTCAAACAGAAGGCGGCCAATTGCCATGACTAGCCCAGCCCTACTCGCTTCCCTCCCTAACCCTTCCCTGTCTGAGACTTGGCCACGGACGAATCTGATTTTTATTTGCCATTCTCTTTGCTCGTGGGTGAAAAGTGGGGACTGAAGTGGAAGAGTGCCCTCTTCCAGCTGCTGTTTCTTATTTAACTGGCTTTTATACCCTGTAAACGACAGAAATGCTGCATAATGACTGACAAAGTTAAAATAATTAAGGTAATAGGTGATGAAATACATAAGAAAAATCTATGCGTTTCGTACATTTCTTTACTAAGATAACATCGCAGCAATCTATTTTTATATCTATATCTATGTCCAAATAGGTCCGCAAGGGTATTTAAAATTCGATTGCCACTACTTGAACTTGTTTCAATTTACGATTTCTTTGCTATTTCTGAGTCCTGACCTACCGCACAGTTGGCGACTGGGGAGAAACTGCCTTTCCGGGTACTGTTGTTATTTGTGTAAGATACATATGGATAGTATATATGTAATTGTATACTTAACATGAAACGTGCTCCGATTCTCGCCTCTTGGACCCAGTTACGGGAGTCAGTAGCATCTTGTGCTTCAGGCACTCGTTTTCTGTAAGCCAATGTGCCCAGCGTTGCATTTGTTTGTAATACTGTATACTGCATTTGCAAATAGTTTCCATAACTGTTGTTCTCGTTGCTGTCGTGTGGGTCGTGCCGGAAACATTTTGTGGTTGCGTAAACGACGATGGCAACACCGACAATGATAGTGGGCGAAACACTGAAAAACCTGGTGGGACAGTGTAATGTCAAGCTGGGAGTTCAAGTTGACCTCGCTTTTAATTTGTAGAAATGCGCACGCCAAATAAAAAATAATAATAACAAACTTGAGCCTGGGCAATAGTTGGACAGAGGTCTGCATTGTTTCACTTGCACTCTGTCATATTTGCACGTCTGGCCAGTGTGTACACCACACACACACATACACACATAATTGAATTAGGGCGAAGCTTCTGGTCTCCCACTCTCTCATACTCTCTTGAGCTTTGTGCTCTTGTTGTTTGCTTGTTGCGCTGCGTTGCCTTTTGTAACGAGCTTAACGCCATTTTGAGTGCAATGCAATGTAACACACTCCCACACATAACTGTTTGTACACGTGGGCATAAAGAAAAAGTTGTAAAGGCAATAACAACAACAACTTCAAGCGGTAGAGCAACCATTTGCAGCAGGCGCCATCGCTTTATTGCTGACTTTATGTTTAATGTTAACAAAGTGCGTACTTTGTTATGTGCTCCAAGAGGCTTACGATTAAGAGCGGCAGCGAAAAAATCTCCCAGTTAGTCCATTTTACATGACATAAAATACAAAAATAAACTCGTAAGACTGCAAATAAAAAAAGCACACTTACACAAACACCGTGCAATAAGGAAAACATATGGGTTCACAGATCATGCTTTCTCCCAAATTCTCTGAGTGATCCTTGAAAGAGTCTATTGTTGAAAGTGCACTATTATTCATAACTAAAGTTCGAGGGTGAACATAGATTAACTAAATGTATGTCACGAAGCACTAATATGGCGATAATGTCACATGACCCAAACAAATATCAAGCCAAAATGTGTAACTATTTATAAGTACTAATTGCGGCTTGAGACATAAGCTAGGGACACAAGTGTAAACATGTGTGTATAACATGTTGAGAGATGAGGATAAGGCTCTTCCAATGACTGGAAGTGCACTAGAAATATGATTCTAATGAGAGCTATATAAGAATTGAATTGTTAAATTCATCGAGTCGTTGTGTCCCTTGCAACTATCTTATATGAAGCTATCCCCGTGTTGCCCTTGTATAATTAACAGAGTACGTATTGTGCTTAAACACATTAAATATCGATGAAAGTTCATGTCATATTTGGTGCCTGTAGCTCTCGTCTAGATATAAACAATAAACCTCAATACACATTCATATCGATTGATATGTGTATGGCTGAAAAAAACTTCATGTACAATTTGCCACATTTTTATACTTTTTATATGGTGAAAACATACATTTTAAGCGGTTAATCCATATAAAAAATGTAAAGTGTGTAGCTAATTCCGTAATTGAACAAGAGCAGAAAGTTGTTACATGTGTTACAAATTTATTTCCAAAGATCTATACGAAAAATCATTTGAGACGTGTTTCACACTTTTCGCAGAATCTAAGCTTACTCAGTGGAAAGTGCGATTCTAAGATTTGTTCGGTGAAGTTTTAAGTTTTGTCCGGTTCGCATCAAACTTATTTTCAAAGCGATTTGGGAAATTCCACACAAAACAGTGGGCCATTAGAGAAAAAACAAAAGCTGAATTTACGAATCTGATACATAATATACAAATTTCATACAACATCATTCTATCTCAAGCGAATGAGAATGAAAACCAAAACTCTTGGTTTCAGTGACAGCAGCAGCAGGCCAAAAAGTATTCTGCCCAGGAAAAACCACATGACACACTCAACCTGTCAGCACATAAAAGCTCTTGTATCCATTATAATGCGTATGTGTTAGTGTGTGAGTGTGGCCAGATTCGAAGGAAAAGAATGTTGGCTACATAACGTACTTACATATATTATGCATGCAGCCCAAGCAATGGCCAAAAGAATATTCAAAGCATTTAGCAACTCATTGTCCCTTTCAACACCGAACAGAACAACAACAAACCCGACGTATAAAAATGTTTTCATGGCTCTCAAATTGTATAATTTGAGTTTGCACATAAAATCACACCGCAAAAATGGACATGACCCACAGCAAGGCGTAGAAGTGAACCTACAAGAAGACAAATTCAAATACATGTTCACACATACACACGCACACACATATTTGTTTGCAAGTTATACTTACGTGAACTTACCACCAGGGATTCTGTCTACAACAAGGGCTGCAGAGTCAAAAAAGAAATCACTACTTAGCTTCTTGCAAAAAATTTTTTCTGAAGATTTTGATCAAAAGGCGCTAGAGCAGGAACAATCCAAATAAATTTATTCGTGCTTATAAGTTTAATACAACATGACATTGTGTCATATGTCATATGATGGAAACGACCGGATCGGACCACTTTAGCGAAAAGCGTAAAGCAGGTTCTTGTGTGACAAACTTTTCTGTTTTCCAAGATATCTAACTCAAACTCGATATTTATATGTGTTACTATGTTGCATCTATATGATCTTATTAAGGTTGCACAATTATATTATAAACGAAACGTTTTTGTATATAAACATTTAGTTCTTCAAGATATTTTCACCAAACGCTGCATTTAAGAGCTTTATATATACACATATCTGCAAAGCCATAAGGAAAATGTCGACAAGGGCATTAATTCTTTGGTGTTCCCAAGGTGGCTGTACTCTCTTGTCTTATATATGGTTTGATTCGGATATATTTTGCAGCCTTGTTATTTGCTATTATAAGTACTATTTATAAAAGGTTGATTTTTCTTAAAACTTTAAACTTGAAACACTTCAACTGCATAGACCTGAATCCTACATAGAAAATAAGTTTTAAGAAGATGCTAAAACTGAAACCCGGCAGACCTTTCAAATTTAAATACATTAAGGCTTTGGAACAGGACGCGTTCACAAAGGGGAACAGGAAATACAAAATACAAAACTTGTACGCCATAAAAATACTATAAAATTGTGAAAAAGGCATAGATACAATATACAAGTTGCGGATACATAAGAGATACATAAGTATCTGCTGACCTAAGTGCGTGTTCGCATAAACTTTTATGAGTGTGTGGGCGCATTGTCAATCCGAGAACTTTAAGTATTCTCTAACCCTTGGCGTTGAGTACTGATGTCGAGTCATTGTCGTTGTTTTACCCAGGGTGTCATTTGTGAGGTTATGCACGCACCTTTTACCCAGAAGTTTTACAGATTTTATTTTAATTTTTCTTTTTTCTTTTCTTGAACCCCTTTTAAGTGGGATACGTTTTGCGGAAGGCAGTCTCAAAGCAACTCACACACAAAGAGTGAGTTATATTGCTTCCACACGAAGCATTTCTAGGCGACAAATTGGTCTTCAAGCTTAACAAAAAGGTTTCCAAACTTTGCACAGTGCTGAAAGTGTAAATTGCATTGGGGGAAGTCAAATGAACTGGAGGAGGTTTGGGTACACATGTACATATATGTATATGTGAGCTGCTGGTCTTGTAATAGTGGCTATTGGTTTGCTTGTGGTGAGTGCTAGCTTGGGAGACATTTGCAGAATTATGTTCATGTCTTAATTAGAATGCCAGCTCAGGTCCAGTAGACGACGCACGTCTCATAAATTACTTATATGCGATTTGCATGAAATTTAAATAATCAAATTACCCGAATCCTGGGCACACAATTAGTACAGCTCTTACGATTGTCGTTTGCACAATCCAAAATTGTAAACTAGTCGTCAACACAGGTCCTGAGGTCCATATAAAATGAAAAGTAATTTTACATAAATTATTGCCACACTCGTAATTTGGAATGAATACATATTTGTGGCTTGGTACGCCAATCCCTCGTCTTAAACACCTTTTAAGCTGTCACTTAACCGATCAAGAAACAGTAAACATTAGGAAAGTGGTAAGTCTGGGCTGAAAATCAAATTCATTTAACCTTTCCAAATTGGACAAGAGAATGTTTTGCAGTCAAAATACGTATGTATTAGAATCTGATTCCAGGGCAGTCTGCGGAATGCCGAAGACTAACTACCCTTTAGCACAGTAGTGCTTTCAAACCAAAGTTTATTTCGGATGGAATGAGAAAACACTATTTTTGGTTAATCATTCGTTTGATTATATATTTTATATTTGGGCAACTACGGGCATCGTTTCAGTTCTTGCATACTATTTGCAAAAATCTGCTCGAGCTGTTTTTGAAACTTGTAGAATCATAGAATTATGCACAACATGGAACCGGGTCTCTGAACTTGTATCACAACCTCAACACGAATACGATATAACTTTAATTATGTAAGTGAAAATTATGATGGGGTGGGAAACTTGCCGGTGGCTGTGCTCTTGCTTGGGCGGTCACACGTGGCGTATGAATAATTAAAATGTCAGCTAATTAAGCCGAGTAAAATGCATTAACTTGCTGCACTGCAACGATTTTGGCCAACATACATTTTGTTGGTTTTAATTAAAATGTTCAGAAAATTCAATGCGCTTACATTTTTGCAACAGCAAAGTGTGGCATTAATTTTGAATGTAAGCGTAGGGAAATTGATATTTCTTGGCACGTTTCAGCATCATCTCATAGTCTATTTCATTGAGTATATCCGGAAAATCCATATCATCATCCAGATAGCTTGGATCCCACGGTGGTATTTTAAATCCCCTCAACAAAAGCAGCATATTGAGCAGCAATAGACTCAGCAATATATACAACATTGCTTATATTTTATTTGAATATTTTGTAAATATTTTTAGCGTTCGTGTTTTTAGAGTTTTGAGATTTTAATAGAAGATGTGTTGATTGTTTTATGATTTGTTTGAGAACCATAGATTTAAAGACTTATTTTTTTCGAATAATAAAAATAACGGTAAGGTACTCAAAAATAGAAATACTTATAAGAGAATTGACAAATGAAATTAAATTATATTTACATTTTATCAATATTAGTATTAAGGCAACTTTCTTATCAATATTTCACAGCTGGGATACTCTTCTCGCTTATTCACATAATAAAATTAATGTTAATGATACACTTCTGTTGTTCTCTCAACCTCCCGAGGAGCATTCGCCAGCTCTTGCCTGGTTCCCATCGCATAGGGCTTTTTATCATAGGTTTTTACATAGAACGTTCCATTCTTGGGATCTGACGGTTCGCCACCCATACGAAATTCCCCATCATTGTCTAAAAGTACCCACGTCTTTTTGGATATGCGCTCACAGCGAATGCCCCAGAAACCCTTGGTGCTATTGATGGACTCGGCAAAGTAGTCATGGGCACGCTTATGGGAACAGCCGTACATATAGCACTTCTTTTGATCCTTGCCAAAGTTGGGATAGAAGGTGGCATGGCCCACGGGCTCCTCGAAGCCCAATCCAATGCTCGTCTGTATTGACTCCACATAGTGTGCATCACTCGCGTCGATGCGATACTCATCGCTCTGCTCCCGAAACTTGGGACCCGCCGGATCCAATGCGTAGATCGTATTAAAGCGAAAGGGTCTGATCTGTTTGCCCGCACTGCCTGCAATCTGTGCACCCAGGGAGTGTCCAATAAGGTAGACATCGTCAAACTGCAGACCGGCACGCATATGGAGAAAACGCACAAACTCGGCCAGCAGAAAGCCCAGATCTTCGACCATATCGGCAACACCAAAGTAGTTAACATTTGAAGATATCTTACTCCAATCACATACAATTATATTAAAATCCTCATAACGAGGAGCTTCCATGTGGGGCTCACTCTGTGCGGCATCATTATTATTTTGTGTGCTGGCCTTTGGTTTAGTCAAACTCAGATACGCGCTCTTCACATCCCGATTCAATGAACCCTTGCCTTGACTCATCCAGCCGTGTATGATAATTCTGTAATATTCAAATTTGATTAATTAACAATATTAATTAAGCAATAAGTAAGCCTTCAACCATAAAAGAGATAGTATTAAATATTATATATGGATAAATACTAGTTTATAGACTTCCAAGCTTATCTCAATGTTATCGATCATTAAATTCAACTAAGATTAGCGCAAGATATGGTAAATACAGAAGCTATTTCCGAAAAATTCGGAGAAAATAAAGCTGCATTTAAAAAGTTAAAAACAATTTAAGATAAGAATATTATTTTTATTTTGCCAATATTTATTTCTGGTTTTTCAATTGCCAACAAATTTGCATGCAACTTATTTGCAGACAACAATAAACACATTTGTATTTAATTCAAGGTATTTTAACTTCAGACCATCTGTGAATGACTCACTGATAAGCGGCCAAAAACGAAATGAAAGCACGCCATAAACACGTACCACTCCGCTGCCTAGTAAGTATTCGACTATAGAATTCCCTGTAGCAAGCTATAGTTTATAAGACAGAAATATTTAATGTTCGAAAAGAAATGAACCTATATAAAAAAAAAATATATAAAATGAATAGTACAAGCCGATATTCCCGTGTCCGCCGTTTAACGATCGTTTTGATTTAACGTTTAAAAGTTTTTCATCCCAGGCTTCGTACACCCCTCCACACAGATTTAATGAACTGGCCTTATTAATTATTCAAAAATTACTTCGGATAAAGCGAGAGTATTGAATTTTTAATAATCAAATTAAGAAAGTGATTGCATAATTGTATAACTAAATATGAAATGACTTTTTGTTTTTAAAAAGGAATAATATATAATTTAAGTGCGCTCCAAACCAATCAATAGTTGTTCAATGTGTTCAAATGTGTGATATTAATAAACGTTCACCTTTTCGGCTCCAACAAGGTCGAAGGTGGAGTATTCGATATTTCAACGAAACTAGATTTTCATATTTCGTACCTATTAATGGTTGCTAACACTGCTGCAGAATACTCCTAAGTGTACTTCATCACATCTGTAGCTATTTATATGGCTTGCTACCTTTTACATGTTTGGCAAAAAATTCAATCTACCCGTTGTACCATGATCTAACTAGAGAGCATTAAATACTGATAAAAACACAAAACCAGTTTTCACATGTGAATAACAAAATTAAACAAATAAAAGTGGTCCCAACTATGAGATACCCTAAATATATATATTGATATACTTCAATACATACTAACTAAAAATCACAACAACAAATTCTTTTGTGATTACCTTCGGAGATTATACGATATTTATGAAATTTTTACTGCTTAAATATGAAATATAAATTATAATTATAAATTATAATTAAAAATAGTTTGTTCATTAGTTTGAGAAGAATAAAGGAGTTTTCCAAAAGGATATACTACTATTTTATCTGTATGACTACTAAATATCGTGTATCTCGTTTTAAAATTGCGAATATTGCTTAAAAGACCATGCATCAAAATCGATGCTTATAAATATTCTGAAATTTTAAAATAGTTATCGAGAGTATGTATTGCAAATTTCAAAACATCAGCCCCTGTAGTTCCCGAGGATGAGGCGTTCCCACAGACGGACATACGGACGAGGCTAGATCGACTCAGCTCGTCGTCCTCAGAAAAATAAATATACCTTATGGGATCGAAGATGCTTTATTCTGTCCGTTACATACCCTTGCACAAAAACATTATAGCCATTTGCAACGGGCTAGGGTATAAAAACAATTAATTAGAAACTTACTCAAATTTTTGCACCAGGCAAAACTACAGCTGATCAAAATGACGCAAAAAATGTATATTTAGAATGAGAAAGTAAATGTGGGTTAACAATAGATACACACATGCATATATGTGTGCAAGTTACAGACCAATACATAGGTTCAATTTGCATGTAGTGCATACTATTTACATTGAAAATTCCCATTACTCTGTCACATATGCACATTTGTGCTTCCCAATCTCTTATCAGCCAATGCAATGGCTTTGGGATTGAACCCGATTAAGGCACTTACCTAGTGGGATGCCGTGCATCGAAACCGGAACGCTCCAAGGTCTCATCATCGCTGGGGAACAGTTCTTTACCGCAATCGGGAAAGTCCCTTTTGAATAGAAAGAATTGCATTTTGACACGAGCGCTGCTCGTAAAGGGTACCAAATGCTTGAAGAACTTCTTCCAAAATGGATAATCCAAATACTTATTGGACTTTGTTAACTTGTGATCGCATTGGTTTAGCTCGGGCAGATTTGCTGAGGCAGCTTCAGTTGAAGATGCCGCTAATATTTATTGCAAATACAAAAATATGTTACCTATATATATTAAATACATTTTATTTGACAGCTGACCTACCTATCACAACACTAATAGCGCCTATAGCTATAAATATTATCGGTACGAAGCGCATGACTTGATCTTTTTCTTCCAAGCCCTCGAACAGTTACAGAATTTATGCGTGAGCTCGCGTTCGTGCGTTGCCCCAAAGATCGCATACACACACTTAGTCAGACGCCAATTTAACAGCTCCGTAACGCTCAATGGTGCGTGCTCAACTAACGACTGACTGGCTGATCGGTTCCGAGCGCTCGAAACTCAAATTTACACTTCCAACTAGAGATGGTTGCGGCTGCCTCAGTTTTGAGCCAGGGTTCAGCACGAGGCAGTGTCCAAAATTATACAAAACTTCATATGTTATGTATATTTTTCGAATATTTTTCTGGATATTAGTAAAAAGAACTTATTGTTACTTTTTAAGGAGCGATCAAATAGATGAATGCCATAAGACTTTCTTTTCAATTGTATATATTCAAAGTTATTTTTTCAGGATATGTCGTGCCTTTCTTTTATGTGCACGAACACAAAATCTCCTGATTCGTGGCTCACGAGTCACGAAAAAAAAACACGGCCCGCTACCTTCTCTATTCCAAGCAAATATTCTCGAGTGGCGACTTCGTGTCTGCACTCTCTCCCTCATCTCTAGAGATAACAAACGACGCATGAAGAGAGCGACCGAGCGCCGGTTATTAAACAGATTATTTAATTGATATCAAAATAAACAACTGTTTAATGGAACTCATTTACTCTCCCGCCTATTCACGCTAAGAGTGGGTGGGGGTAAAGGGGGTTGAGAGCCCAATTATGAATACTAATTAAATACATCCACTAATCTTGTAGTTGAACTTGAAATTCGTTAACAAATCAGCGATAGATTGCTCCGGCGTGAGGCCTTGTTCTTCGACAGAAGAAGATTTAGGGTATCTCCCAACTAGAGTAATATTTCCTTTTAAGTATTCACCTTGTACATATGAGCTGGGCTTAGCGAATCGGAAGATACGCTTCCCGAGAATCGTTTCCTTTAGTAGACATATTTACGTATGTGCATATGTATTTTAAGGGGTAAAGGATTAATTTTGAATATTTGTCAGGCTCAAAACTCATCAACCCTAACAATACGATCTATTTTCTTTTATATGAGTTTCACTTGCTTACCCAAATTTATTCTAAACATGAATCTGATTAGCTCGTAATAATTACGGCACTACGACCATAAATTCCAAAGTTTGACAACTTTTTTCATTTGTACGCTCGAGGATAGCAAATAAGTCGAAAACTCATCGCAGCGCTCTGTTATCGTCTAATTGCTCAGCTCAAATCAAATTTGTAGCACACCTTATTATGGAGACTAAGGCGAATAATTTATGTTATTTATGAGAGACCAAATGAAGCGACAAATTTCAGGCACTTAGCAAGTCAATCGCTCAGGCAGCCTGAGAAATGCGGCCAGGACGAGCTGCAAACTGGCGGGCGTGGCAAGTTTTCAGCACTTTGGTCACGGACACATAAATGGCACACACCTGGCGAACGTGAGGCGGCATTTCAATTATGCAAATTTCGTGAGGCTCGTTGATTAGAAAATCCGCAAAAACCCTTAAGCGTCGGCATGGGACATGGCTGAACCATGAGGACCTCTAGCTCCGACACTTTCTCAACCTTCGGGCGTCAATCAATATGCCAAAAAGGGGTTGGGTTGAGGTTGCTTGTGGGCGCCAACCACGCCCACGCTAATTAATTGGCAAAACCACCAATTAGACTACACAAATTAATTGGCAGGCCCACGGCTGCCTATACGTTGCGCTCTTCTGCTTCAGCTTGCTCAAAGGACACTTATTGAGCATTTCGAATCTCGGCACCCAACTGGAAGTCCCTCTTGAAACCTCTCTCTGCGAATTAAAATATTTGGTTCGTACCCAAAAATTTACTGCACTTTTGCGCATTTTACTCTTAACTTTGTTCGCTTGAGTGTCACCAAACTTTTTGCGCAGTTCCTTTGTGCCACTGACAAGGACGCAAGGGGACGGCGGCAGGGCGGGAATTAACTGGGAAAACTGCCACTCCAGGCAGCCAACAGCTTTGGGGCTTACTTACCCCCAAAAGTCGTTTGTCATTAAAGTCGTTTGTCATTAAAGCATTCTCTGTTTACCACGTGACCTGTTTGGGGTCCCAGATAATGTTGAGATTAAAGGTACACGAACCCATTTACACAGGTAACCATGTTTTGCATATCTCTTTTATTTTACCCTACATCATAAATTGCCTTAGGTCAAACCACGCTATCTATTAAATAAGATGATACTCCCCTGATAAACAAAGCACATATTTACAAAAAATGCACAATATTAAAATATATATATTTTTTTTTCGTTTATTATACGTTTGTAATTACTTCCGCCTTTATCAAAGTTTTTTCTTGCTATACCACATGAAGAATTCTCTGGTCGGGAATGACCTGCAAGTAGATGCAAGCATCTATGCACAGAGGAAACAAGTAAAATTGCTCTAGTCGGAAATGTCCGACTTGGGGATACCTTGAACCTTCTCTGATCATTAATCTCTATATATAAAACTGTTTGTCCTGACTGACTGACTGACTGACTGATTGGTGATCAACGCACAGCCCAAACCGTAAGAGCTAGGAAGCTGAAATTTTCACTGTAGCTACCTTATGTGATGTAGGTGCACGTTAAGACGGGGTTTCGCGAAATTCCACCCGCAAGTGTGGAAAAATCGCGAAAAACGTTTGCATGTAACTTTTTTGTTTACCATCCGATCGGCCCCAAACTTATTTTCAAAGATCTTTGTTCAAATTCATTTGAGGGGTGTTTCACACTTTTAGGAAAATTCATTCCTCTTTGGTGGAAATGGAGGTCAAAGATTTGGTGGGCGACGTTTCGCGCTCAAATTCATTTCCAGAGATTTATAAGAAAAATTATTTGAGACGTGTTTCACACTTTTCGCAAAATTCAAACTTCTTCGGGGGGAATGCGACTTAAAGATTTTTTTGGGCGAAGTTTTCAGTTGTGTCCGATTTGCTTCAAACTTATTTTCAAAGCTCTACATAAGAATATAATGAATACGTGTTTCAGCGATTTGGGAAATTCCACTGGCAACATTGGTAAATTGGCGGAAAACGTTTTTTTGTTTGTTTACCGTCCGATAAGTTTCAAAATCATTTTCAAAGCTTTTTGAGAACGTTGATTTTTAACATACGTGTCACGGGCAAGGCCGGGTTCTGCCCGCTAGTAAAAATACATGAAAACAAGTAACAGTGCTCTATTGTAGCTAAATTAAAGGTACTTGATCTGTATATACTATTCTAGATGCTATATGCCTAATTTGGCGACTTGCTCAAAGCATGGGATTTCTAGGGAGACCTATGTACAAAATATCAAGTCTCTAGCTCCTATAGGTTCTGAGATCGACGCGTTCATGTATACGGACAGACAGAAGGACATGGCTAGATCGACTCGTCTATTGATACTGACCAAAAGTATATACACTTCCCTCTGCCTGTTACATACATTACAGTACAGAACTATTATACCTTTTTCCCCATTTTCTATGGGTTCAGGGTATAAATAACCTATAACCTAGGATCCAAAATAATGAATGAATACAGATACATGCACCACACTCCCAAATATCTACTTTATCTTCAGAGAAAGAGCTTACTTGTCGCAAAATGAGAGCAGCCTTCTTTGAAAATAAAATAAATCATTATAAAATTAAAGAAATGTTTTTACAATTTGAACAATATCCAGATCGTAGCCAGGCCAAGCTCTCAACCGCTCCATTTTGCAGTCCGCCATTTTGTTCTTTTGCAGTTTTGGTCAACGTTTAAACTTTTTTGGAACCGCCCAATGGGCTGCGGGCCTCTACGCCAAAGTTTCGCATTGAACCGAAAACTGTAAATCCGTAACTAACATTTTTAAGCATAACAAAGTGCGACGGGATTTTGCGAATAAATCTTAAGGGCGCTTTTTGGTTTAGTCAGCCGTTGCACTGGGCGCTTATTATAAACTTCGTTGGCGAAGGGGTAGGCCAGCCGCTTGGTCTTTGTATTTTCCGGTTACGGTGGGCCAACGATGACTTCAACTTTTCTTATTGACTTAATGCAGTTGGCAAGTGCACAGTAGAAGTGTTGGCTGTTGGCTGTAGATTTCAGGGCAGAACCGTGTGCTAACTTGGTGCAAAGAAAAGGACACGAAAACTTTGCACATTGTCAAGGGAATCGCTTGCTCACAAATAACTTGCCCAATTAATGTTGCGATTACCAAGACAAAAAAAACAAGTTAGCGTCTACTATCCTTGTCCGACTAAGAGTTCCCCTGACGAGTTGTCGAATATTCTGTTAGAAGAGACTACCTTTATTCTAGACATGCATCCGCAAAGCACGCATACACTCAAACACACACGAACATAGACATAGATCTGATATTTGTTAAATTGACAAGTCCTACTAATTCATCCAAATGTGTGTTAATAAAATAAATAAACTGCCCAAGACTATACCACCAAAATTACGTTTTACCCACCTCTATACACCTCCATGTGCCCAGGTTTTGTTTCCAGCCTTGATTTGTCATAAACCATTTAAAAAATCCAATAGTTCAGTTCTTGATCCCAAATTGGCATCTACCAAATATGGTAATATACCCGTTGGATTTTCCTTTAAAGTATTTTAGTTTGAAGTAACAATTTTTGAAGAAATACCATTTGTGTTTCGGCTTGGGTGGTTTTTAGGTTCGTTTCATTGTAAAATATAAATTTGTATTCCAGACCAGCTTGCAGCCTTGGGCTTAATGCAATATAGCACACAAATTAATCTACCAAGCTCAGACTTCGGCCTAACTTTAATTGTATTGACTGGAATAACTGAACACAGAAGTCATCGCGTTCTAACCATTCATTTTTAGTTTCGTAAGGCTACTGCTTTGCAGGTTTCTGTCAAAATTTTTGGGCAAATGCCAGAAGCATTTGAGTCGATCAGTTTAATACTCTTTAATTCATTAGCCGCATACATAACTTTGATTTACAACTCTCACTTTGAATTCTTATAAAAAAATAACTGAACACGTCTTAAAGCTATATCGAAAATTTTAGTTAATTTTTTTTTTTAAATTTCATAGTTATTTTCGCTAGTGGAGATGTGGACATGGACATAGACATGCCATTGAGTGGTAAACTGGCAATTGTTGCAGCCACAGCCGGTACATTCTTTGCCCTGGGTGCCTACTATCAGCACCAGCATGTGATCCGTAATATTAAGAAACTGGAACAGCAGAATCCACATGCCTATTTCATTCGACGAAAGCTCTACGGACTGGTAAGATGCCCCCTAGCCTGTTTGTACGGTAGCACCCTGCTGAACACAGGTGTACACCCATTTCAGTTGGATATCTTCAACGTGAGAGCGATTACCGAATGCTATGAAGAGATCCCGGACAACAATTCGCACAAGATGGGCGCCGTCATGAAGTACGGGTTTCCGAGCATGAACGAGATAAACCTAAACGAGACCTTTAACTTTGTGACCTCGTTCGACCGCCGTAACTCGGCAATTCAGTGGATGTGCGAACGCGTTGATGAATCCAGCTATACAAATGCCACGGCACAAGAGTATCGCAGCCTCTCAGTACGCCGTAGGCCATTTGGAACGCTGCCAAGCATCTATCAGCAGTCGGAGGCTGCGCGTGTTTTCTTCATGTCGAACATAAAACCGTTTTTGGGCCGGGGCTTCAATGCCGGCGTCTGGGATCGACTGCTGCACTACGTGCATGATATGGCCCAAAATCATGGCGTAGTGTTTGTGTACACTGGATCCATTTACCTGCCACGCGAAATGAAGAGCAACAACTGGTATCTGGAGTTTCAGCCGGAGGACAATACGATTGTCGCCATACCGACGCATTTCTTTAAGATTATTATCATCGATCCGAAGCAAATCAATAGCACACCCTATGCGGAAGCCTATGTGGTGCCCAACATAGCCATCAATGATAACACCGAGCTACATAGTCTGCTATGTGATGTGCGCGACATCGAGAACGCGACGGGATTAAAATTCTTTGAGGGTCTCGATCGCAACTTTGTCAATACCCAAGTGCCTTCTCCTCAACGACTGGAAAGTTCTCTATCTCAAATAAGTGATTAGCTGTAATAATTGTTCAAGCTTCTTAGTTAAATAGCTTTTAAGATTGGCTGAACCCGATATGAATTATGTTTTCACCAAAATTCCACAACTAATGTTTCATACACTTCTCACTATATATCTCATTATTTTCGTTAGTCCATTTATCTATTACTTAAACTAAGACTTTTCAAAAAATATGCCATATTTTGGATAAATAAATATTTCAGATTGACATCCTAGAAAATAAAACAAATAGTTTGTTGTTCCTATTACTTCCAGTTTCTATACATGCATATATGTACATATATGCTTAGAGTATCTCCATGTCGGGCACTCCCGTTTGGAGAACTCCTTATCGTTTTATAATCTCTGCAATGCTGACTGACTGATTGGGGATCAATATTTTTTCTCTAATTACATTGTAATAAAGGTGCATGCTAATTAAAATTTTTAAAATATCTACCCCTGGAAATCGCATAGGAAATCACTTCGTATTTAAAATGTCTCCCAAGTTTGAAACTTACATGAAAACCACAGCTGACTCTGTAATTAAATTCTAATATATATATTTTTTTTCAAATAAATTTGTAGCTAGTTGTTCCTACAGTTTCTTTTTTATGAGCCGGCCCTGGCACTTGCTGCTGGTCGTGGCAATTGGATTTGCCTCTGCGATTGGATGCTTTGTGGCTGGCGTTTACTTTCAACATAACCATGCGACTCGGCTGCTCCAAGAGCTCGTGCAGCAAGATCCCTATGCCTACTATATCAGCCCAAAGCTCTTCGGTGTGGTAAGCCAGCAGCCTGCATCTTGCCAGTATCCTACTGATCAGCTGAAGGCAATTAAAAATCTGTTTCCCAGTTTTGCTTCTTCAGTTCGGCGAGTGACACCACACACCGCGTGCAGCGTATCATGAAGTACGGCTTTCCGGGCTTGGATGATGTGAGGCTATATAGCGACTTTGTACTTTCCTACGATCGTCGCAATCGCGTGGCACATTGGGTATGCGAACACTTGCAGAAGTCGAATCTACAGGGTGCGCGGCGCGTTATCCGCGCTCGCGCCACCTATCGGCCGGATCTGAGTGTGCCTTCGACTTTTCGATCGACGCTCGCCGACTATAGACACTCTGGTTTTGATCGTGGTCATCTGGCAGCGGCTGGAAATCATCGTGGCCAGCAAATAGATTGCAACGAAACCTTCTTTCTGACCAACATAGCGCCGCAGATCGGCCAGGGCTTTAATAGCGGTGCCTGGAACAAATTGGAGATCTATGTCAGGGAGCTAGCCCATCATTTTGGCTCAGTATATGTGTGCACGGGCCCTCTGTTCAAGCCCCGACCGCAGGGCTATGACAAATGGAGCGTGCAATACCAGATGATCGGCTCCAGTATGGTGGCGGTGCCGACTCACTTTTTCAAGGTGATCATGGTGGAGTCAAAGCTGCCATTGGGTAAGCCCTATATGGAGGCCTATGTGCTTCCCAATGCACCCATACCAGGGGAACTAACAATTCGCGAGTTTCTCTGCGATATACGTGAGATCGAGCACCTTGCAGGACTTAATTTCTTTCAGGGCATTCGCAGAAGTGCAATATTCGGCAGCAACTATCCTAGCCAGTCGCAAGTTTTTCGAGATTTTGCATAATTGGGTGGCTCTATCTTGAGGATTAAGAACATAAATAAACAAATTAAGTTCCAGTAACAGAAGCTTGCTATAATTTGTTAATAAAGCTTAATTAGTCTGTCCCAATAAACTGTTGAACTTTGATTAATTTGCCGAATTTAGGTCTTGGTGTCAAGTTAACCTGTTAAATCTAAACTGTTTCAAATGGAAGGCAATGGCTTTCTTCCTCGACAGCTTACTGCTGGAGCGTGTCAACAGTACCTGTAATAAAGTTATTGATCTTGGTTTATTCCGGATCATAGACTCCAATTCCACTCTCATGTTACGACCTTGGTCAATAAGGTCAGAATTGTTTTGGAATACATCAAGCGATGTTTAAAGGAATTCGACGATCCTTACACGACAAAGATCCTCTTAATATCTCTGCTACGACCTATTCTTGAGGTTGCCTCTTGTGTCTGGTCGCTATAATATTGAATACGCCAAGACAGAATTGAATCTGTACAGAAACAATTCTTTTTGGGTGCCATTTTTGGTTTAAATTGAGATCCTCGTGTGCGGTTACCGCCATTCTCCAGTAGTTTTGTCCTTCCAATCAAATTCTTTTAAAGTATTTTCTGGGTGCTCACAACAACCGTCGAACCACGCTGCTCTCTCGTTCAAAATTATTATTAAATAAACATCGCCAATTTACGATTAAGACTATATTTAAATTCTTGACTTGGTATAACCCCGCTGTAACGTTATTAACTCTAGCACAAAATTCTTAGATTTATTTAGGCCAATTGTTTTTTGCTATTATCTATTGAATTAGCTGATTTCGGTTTTTTTGGAATCAAATTAATAATGATCTTTCTTTGGTGCTCTGCCATGTTGTCAACAAATTCGTTAGATTTAATTTGCCCCTGCCTTGACATTTAGATTAGAATATTTCTCATTTTGAGCAATCTCGCCCGAGTCCATGCTCAAAACAGTCCGCATAAATATATTACAAGTGCCTAGGTTGATCTAGGTTGAAATATGTTCTGCGAAGCCACGTTTCAAAAGGTTAGACAAATAAATGATTAGGATAACAGAACATTCGATCCTTAGGCTGTATCCCAAATCAGTTTATTTTGTCGGTTGACGGGGAGACTCCCAGATCCTCAGAAATAATTTGCTCCCATCAGATGTTATCTAACGGGAATGTGTGTGCAATAATCTCTATCAGGTTCCAGATCGATATAGTCATAGTTTTAAATAAAAGAACTTTTCTACCTCGTAGGCAGCTGATCTACAAATATGATTTTTTTTTGGTAACTAGCAATATGTTTGCACAGTAGGTCATTTTTTAAAAACTATTTATTTTGTTTGTAGAGCAAATCTGAAAAGGATTAACCCTAAATTAAAAGTAGCTAGGCGGCATTAATATATCCATAGTTTTTTAAGAGTTGCGACACATCGCAATGTCGGTCACAGAGGCCGGCGCCCAACAATGTGCGCTCTATGCGCTGGCGGGTTTGACGGGATTTGTATTCGGTGCCTACTTCCAACAAGAAAGTTCAATTCGTCACTTGTTTGGCATGATAAGGAGGGATCCCTATGTGTTTCATTATCGCCGAAAGCTGTACCCACTCGTAAGTATATAGTGAAAGTTGGACAATTTACCAACTATCTCCCTCGGCGTTCAGCTGTCTACTTTCAGGACAGATCATGAAGCGAGGCTGTGGAATCTCACGCCGACCCTGTCAGACAGAATACGCAACCGTTTGTTCTTTTCACTGTTTGACATAATTGGCAATATATTTTTTGACAAGAGACCAATGTCGTACTCGCCAGATTTGTTGGATCTGATCAAGTTTGGTCTACCCAGTATCGAGAATCTATATGTGCACAAGGACTACGTTGTATCGCAGGACTTAAGCACCAATTCTCCGAAATGGATGTGCGAGCATCTGAAAGGCAATTACAAGAAGCTAACAACCGACGGAGACGGCGATGCACTGCACCTTCGCTACAATGATGTCTATGTTCTGAGCTGCGGCGGCACGCGAGTTTGTAAGGCTTTCAAGCGTGAAATTTGGCGTAAGCTGGAACAACATGTGTCCCAAATGACGGAAAAATTTGGTTCGGTGTACGTGTACACAGGTCCCATGTATTTGCCATCCTGTCGCCCCACCGAGGATTGGACTTTAGAATATCAAATTGTTGACTGGATTCCGCTCCCCATGCCCTCCCACTACTTCAAGGTGCTCATCATTGACCCACAGCTGCCAGAATATACTCCCTATATGGAGGGCTACATAATAGACAATAAACAATATGCATCAAGTAGCAGCACCGAATTGACCGATTATCTTTGTGACATTGCTGAGATTGAGCGGCATACTGGTCTTCGCTTTTTCGAGGGCGTTCAGTCAACGGTGCGTTTCGAGAAAAAAAAATACAGACTCGATTCTCAAGCGAACAGTTTTCAACATCTACGTAACCATTTTCGCCAAATACGTGAACCTTCCATTCCCATTGTCCAATCTTAAATAAATATAACCATGCAATTTACGTTGTCATTTTAATCATTTTTTCCTGACCATAACTTCTGGATTACATTATTTTGTCCATTTACGATCACATTTTTCGCCACATTCATTCCCTATGTATTTCATGCTGCTTTGTTCGTACTACATGGATTTGCAATAAATGTGAGGTTGCGCTGTGTTTTAATAAGAGTAATAATTTTTAAAAAATATTTTATTTCAAAAATAAAATAAAAGCTATGAATGTATGCAAATTTTTTATTAAACGAGCATATTAGATATAAAGAGTTAGAATGTAACTGCCACAATAAATATGTTGCAATAACAGTGCACTGTTTATGTTAACAGAGTATATGTTGCCGGGTTTCGATATTTTTAGAGACTGGCTATCGATACTAGTTTCATTTTTAGCTGACTTCGTTTTATGTGACGGATGAATGTTTTTTATCTATGACAGGCTCTAAATAGTTCCTGTTCTGTGAGCTGACTTTAAGGTAACATGTATAAGAGTATATATATTAAATAAGCAGCAGATAATATTAATGTTAATTTCGTTGGTAAGCTTTAGACTCTTCAATATTTTTAAAGGTTGTAGCATTTGATTTAAAAAAAACTATCGCCAAACAAATCGAAATCAACAATACTGCTCATCAGTTGACTGCTATCGATATAAGTCGCACAGGCGACAACTTTACGTGGCAAACTGTCAAATGCAACCAATAGGCAGCAGAAAAAAATCGAATTAGCGAACTGACGTGGAAGTTCGTTTTGCTTGGAATTTGTGTTAAAAACTGCTTTACCTGTGTATCCATTCCCAGCGAAAGCTGCAAATAATTGCACAACAGTCGCTAGCTAACGCATCTAAGCCGAATTTCGACGCAGCAAGGTCTGAAATCGTTTGAATTCGTGGGAACGGGAACGCGAACTTTGAGCTGCAATTTGTGTTTTGTGTGTGAAAGTTGCTGCTTCACTTTTATGTGCTTATTTTGAGACGCTTCTCGCAGGCCACTTTAAGCTATGAATCCGAATATGTATGGCCCACCGCCTACACAATTCCAACCACAATATGCACCTCCGCCGCCGATTAGTGGCACACGGCCACCGACAGGTTGGCCACAACAACAACAGCAGCAGCAGCCGCCGCCGCCAGCGCAACAGCAGCACCCACAGCAGCAGCAGCAGCAGCAACAACAACAACAACAGCAGCAGCCACAACAGCAACAACAACAGCAGCCACAGCAACAACAACAACAATATGGCGCTGCGGTGACGTCCGCTCAGCAACCCTATGTGAATGGCAACTACCAGCAGGTGAGCTTCTGAGCCTGATTTTTAAGCAACATCAAATGAGCTCCAATTCAGCACAAAAGAGAGAACATGTTATACCCTCCCAAATTCGAATCGCTTACTCGTTGCTGCCACAACTTGTATTCAACTTGTGTGTGCCGATGATAGTATTAGTTTTAAATAGTACTTGAGCCTCAAGCTGTAAAGAGGTCAGCAAACGTTTCATAATGGAAGCTGCCTGATAAGAGTCCACACATAATTGAATCGATTTGTACTGTATTGCATGTATTTATGAATAACTCGAACTACTACTTTCTATCTCCCTCTTGATTTCTCTCTGTCGCTGCCTCCGCACAGTTGGCCACGTCGATGAGCGGCTTGAGTGTGAGTGGTAATCCCCTGAAGCCTACCCAGCCGCCGCTTCCTATGCCCTCGGTTGGAGTTGGAGCTACTGCACCGCCGGCCGCATACAATCAGTTTAACTCGAACGCGCCGCCAACGTCGCAGCCATTGCCCCCGGCCGGTTCGGGCTTAAGCTTCAACAATAACAACAATGCTTACGCGGCAGCCTATGCAAATGGCTCATCAGCTCCATCTCCGGCGCCTCCAGTGTCTGCAGCTGGTGGAGCAGCAGCGCCACCGCCCTCGCTGTATCCACCCACATCAGCGGCGCCTACTTCTGTTCCGCCTACATTGGCACCTGCACCTATGCCGCAAAGCGTGCCCAGCGGCATTAACCAGATGACACTCAACAGCGCGAACTTGGCGGGTTTGCCACACATGCCACCACCAAAACCAGCTGGACAACAGCTGCCACCAACATCCATTGGCGCTGCGCAACCGCCACCACCAGCAGCGCAGTCAGCACCCGGAGCTTATGTACGATCTGGTCAACCGCTGCAACCACCGAGTAGCGCTGCTCCAGCCACGTTCGCGCAATCTGGCATGCCACCTCAGCCGGCAGCAGCTGGTGGCCCAACTGGTATGCCATATGGAGTACCGCCGCCTGGCAACTATCCAGGCGGATATGCCGGACAACCAAATGCGGCATTCCAAGGCGCGCCTCCGCTACCAGGACAGCAGCCAGCGCCGCCGCAACCTCAACAATTTGGTGCAGCTCCGCCTCCAGTAGTCGGCTTTCCGCCACAACCAGGACAACAGTTGCAACAGCCGTCCATGCCTGGCTATCCGCCGCAGCCAATGCCCGGCTATCCACCCCAGCCTGGACAGCAGCCACAACAGCCCATGCCCGGCTATCCGCCCCAGCCTGGCACCTATCCGGGACAACCAGGACCCGGTCGTCCTGGCTACAATGTAAGTTCCTGTAACCAGCAAAAGGAAATGTTACCTTGCCCATATGCTATTGCCGCAATAACATTTTCTGTTCTTTGTAGCAACCACCCATGCCGGGCGCTGGCAATATGTACCAACAGGCACCGCCGCGTCGTCTAGATCCCGATCAAATGCCAAATCCCATACAGGTGATGATTGAAAATCAGCAAGCAGCTGGGGGTCCATTTGTGACCAATCAGGCTGGCCTATTACCGCCGCTGGTGACCACGAAGTTTGTGGTGCACGATCAAGGCAACTCCTCGCCGCGCTTTATGCGCTCCTCTCTCTACTGCATACCCAATACGGGCGATATGCTCAAGACGACGGCACTGCCCCTAACGCTCAACATTTCACCGTTGGCGCGCATTGGCCAGGGTGAAATGGAGCCGCCAATAGTGAATTTTGGTGACATGGGTCCCATACGGTGCAATCGTTGCAAGGCCTACATGTCGCCCAATATGCAGTTCGTGGATGCGGGTCGACGTTTCCAATGCCTCATGTGCAAGGTCACAACGGAAGGTAAAGATTAAAAAAAATTAGCCACACCGGTTATAAAATTAAATTTATTTTAAATTATTTTTTCCCATAGTGCATCCCGACTACTATCAGCACTTGGACCACACCGGGCAGCGTGTGGATAAGCATGAGCGACCGGAACTGCTACTGGGTACTTACGAGTTTCTAGCTACCAAGGATTACTGTCGCGTAAGTTTAACGAATTCATTTATGCCCAGCTGTTATCTAAATAGCTTTTTTATTCTATAGAACAATACGGCTCCTGAGTTGCCGGCGTTTATTTTCATCCTAGACGTCTCGTATAATACGATCAAATCTGGATTGGTGCATTTGCTCTGCTCGCAAATAAAGCACATACTCAAACATTTGCCTGTGGACCAGGGTCAGGACAAGTCCAAGGTGCGCGTCGGCTTCATTACCTACAACAGCACTGTGCACTTCTACAATATCAAGAGCAGCTTGGCGCAACCACAGATGATGGTTGTGGGCGATGTGCAGGAAATGTTTATGCCGCTCCTAGATGGTTTTCTTTGCGATCCAGAGGAATCGGCGGCCGTGATCGATGCACTAATGGAGGAAATACCGCGCATGTTTGTAGACACCAAGGAAACAGAGACTATACTATACCCGGCTATACAGGCTGGTCTAGAAGCCCTGAAGGCGTCCAATGCCTCTGGCAAGCTTTTGGTATTCAACTCAACGCTGCCCATCGCCGAGGCGCCTGGCAAGCTCAAGAACCGTGATGATCGCAAACTGCTTGGCACAGACAAGGAGAAGACAGTTCTGACGCCGCAAACGACAGCGTACAATCAGCTTGGACAGGAATGTGTGCAGCAAGGCTGTTCTGTTGATTTGTTTGTGTTCAATAACGCCTACATTGACATTGCCACCATTGGCCAAGTGTCGCGTCTGACGGGTGGTGAGGTTTATAAGTACACATACTTTCAAGCGGAACTCGATGGCAAACGTCTTATTGAGGACATTATTAAAAACGTATCGCGTCCGATTGCCTTTGATGCGGTCATGCGCGTTCGAACCTCTGCGGGCATTAGACCCACCGAGTTCTTTGGCCACTTCTACATGACCAACACCACCGACGTGGAGCTGGCAAGCATTGGTAAGTTGTGAGCTTGCGAGTCTGTCATTGTTAATCGCATATTATATTTTACTTTTTACAGATGCAACCAAGTCGGTGAGCATTGAGATCAAGCATGATGATAAGCTGCCGCCGGAAGAGAACGTCTATATACAGGTGGCGTTGTTGTATACATCGTGCAGTGGCCAGCGACGTCTGCGCATATTGAATTTGGCGCTGCGGGTAACCGTTACCATAGCAGATGTGTTCAAGAGCTGCGACCTGGACGCCATAATGCTTTTCTTTGCGAAGCAAGCCTGCTTTAAGCTGATGGAGCATTCGCCAAAACAGGTCAAGGACAATCTCATACAGCGATCTGCGCAGATTTTGGCCTGCTATCGCAAGCACTGCACATCTCCGACATCAGCTGGCCAGCTGATACTGCCCGAGTGCCTCAAGCTATTGCCATTGTACTCATCGTGTTTGCTGAAGAACGATGCCGTCTCTGGTGGGTCTGATATGACCCTGGATGATCGCTCCTATGTCATACAGTTTGTGCTGGCCATGGATCTGAATATGTCCGTTAACTATTTATATCCACGCTTCATTCCCATACACAATGTGGAACCCGATGAGACGTCGCTACCAACGCCAGTGCGCTGCACACATGAAAAGATCACCGAAGACGGAGCTTATATACTGGAGAACGGTGTGCATCTCTTCATCTGGCTGGGTCAGTCCTTGTCGCCCACATTTGTCCAATCTGTTTTCGGAGTCCAATGCACGCAGCAGGTGAATGCCGAACGTTTCGCTATCACCGCCGATACGCCGCTGGCACGACGCATTACCGACATCATCGATCAGATTATGGAGGAACGTACTCGCTACATGCGGGTAAGTTTAGAGAATATTTTAAATAATACTTCACAAATATATTGACCAACCTATAATGATTGCAGGTCACATGTGTGCGGCAGAACGATAAGCTGGAGAGCGTATTTCGACACTTTCTTATCGAGGATCGCGGCACAGATGGCTCTGCTAGCTATGTGGATTTCCTGTGCCACATGCACAAGGAGATCAAGGACCTGTTAAGTTAGCACGTAGGCAACACGTACAAATCGCCGGCTGTCAGCAGCATTGCAACTGACGAGCGCTGGTCCAGGAGCTATTCGCAGAATCGGGCGCGCATGCGTCGCCTCTCACTGGGCAGTCGTCGGTTTAAATGAGCGTGTTGACATATTTATAGCATAAAGAGCAGATAAAACTTCAATTATACATACATATATACATATATATAAACATATATCTGCGACATCATTTCGCGTGTTAAAAATCTTCCATTAACTTTTATTAAACTTTCCACATTTTGCATGTTCTTTTTTCTGTCAATCTAAAGTATTCAATATATGTGTGTATTTCTGCGCTATGAACATTTGTTAAATGAGCAACTGCAATTAGACAAATTAGTTTTCTGTTTTTTTTTTCTCTTTATTTTCCTTTCAAATTTCGAGCATATTTTTAATTAAATTAAAAATGTCAGCTACATTAAAATTGCTCCCAAATTAAAAATCATACCGTGAAGCAAGCCTGATGCGATAAATATGTAGATTGTGAAACTGCATAGGAAGCAAATATATTTACCTGTAACAGCACATTCATTTACGATTAATATAAAAATGTTTCTACAAGGGAAACAAATGATTTCAAAATCTGTTTCATGTGTTTAAAACTTGTATGCAATATTTTGTTTTCTGTCTTTTATGTAATTTGTGTATCGTAATTCAAATGATTATTACTATCTATAAATACCTATAAAAGTTTCGTGTGAGAATTATTATAATTATACTTGGTATTTGCGAACCCCTTTTCCCAGGACCCCCAAACAAAAACCAACTGTGCAAAAAATATATTACAAATGGAATAAAAATCTTTATTAAAACAAATTTTTATAGTTTCTGTCAATTTTTCATTTACAAACATGAACAAACATTCTAGGAGTCAATGAACGGTGAAACTTACATATACATCTAAAATATTGCAATATCTGATCCCAGAAGTCTAAACATGTTAATCAAACTATTTAAGAAATTAAGATCCAGAAGATTATGCTTGCACAATTCATGTTAAAAGATTATTAAAAAAGGTTTGAAATGCAATCAATCCTGAAAAAATTAATAATTAATTTTTTTCGAGATCGAATTTGTATTGCCTTATTGAAAAAATAATACTTGTAATTGCAATTATATATTTTAGCAAAATGTTTAACGTTTTCAACGACACATACGATTTAGCCGATCGAAAATGAATATCCTGCACGATCAACTTTCTGATTTCAAATATATTATTCATCCTTGCCAATTAAAAACATCAATGTTTTTCTAATATTTTAGTGAACTTGCTAAAAACAACCGATTATATCACTTATATCACTGAAAAATTGTCCAAGTAATTTTATCGAACATTATCTACATGTGTATTTAATATCAGATATCACGTAGAAAAAACTTTTACTTATACTTTAACTGTCTTCAAACTTTGCACATAATTAATAAAAAATGTGGATCGGTAACAGCATGAATCATTATCATCATCATGAAAATATCTTATTTTTTAAATATATAACTTTTGACAGAGAGCCAAAACTATGACATCAAGAACTTAAGTTCTAACCTTTGTTAACCATATTTGATAGATGCCAATTTTGGGTACAGATCAAATTGAACGCGCAATTTGTATGAACAAAAATTAATTGCAGTATTTTGAGTGGAACGCGCAATTGTAAATTAAATTGCTTCATTACAATTTTTGAATATACATGACAAGCCCAAGTTTGAAACAGTTCCTGGGATTATAGATGTAGAAGAATAGGTTCACGAACAGAATCTCGAGGCAGGGAGTTTTTTCAACCGGGAACCAACATACTCATGCTGAAATTTGCCTGAGAGTCTTAAGTTCTAGACAGTTAAGATAAGATTAACTTGGTCCTACGTAGTTAATAAAAGATACCTCTAATAGAAGGGTAAATATATATAGGTATTTATTTTATTTTAGGCCTTTAAATATCTAGAATTATTATTATTTGACGTGCACATTTTACATTTACATAAATTTGTAGATTGTTTTTTATTTCGTTTTGTATATTTAGAAAAGTTTTCGATTTCAATGTTCCCGAAACTCGTAACAATTAATTAAACATTGCCTATGATGCCCACTCTCTCCCTTTCTCAAATCACTGTCTCTGCGTGTGTGTGTGTGTGTGTAGATAAATTGTTTATACAGATTACAAATGAATTTTTTTTTTAATTTTAATTAAATTGGAACATAGGTAAACACACAGTATGCAGGTTTATAAACAAATGTTTGTTGTTGCATCAGAATTTGCTCTTACAATTAGTGTTAAGTTTATATAATTACAAAAATCCTGTCGCAGCTCAAAATATTTAGTTTTTTTAATTTTATCTTTTTCTTTTTGCAGCTTACAACTTAGTTACTATTATAATTTTTAAGCAACGACGACTCTGATGAAATTTTGATATAATGTTTATTCGCATGCCGAAATAGTTTCAAATTACACAGAACACAATTTATGGAATAATACGGCATACAATTCTTTATAAAATTCAACTATTGGCTAGCATTTCGTTTACATAAATAAATTGCGAAATAAAATAAAAACGAAATAAACGTATGATTTTTCATCAGTTATTACAGCGATATGTATATACATATACATATTTATATATATATATATATATATATATATATATATGCTTCTATAGACTGCTTTTGCTTCGCACTGTCATTTTAAAGTTAGCTGAAGAAAATCCGAATAGCGGGCATGTTGCAATCGCCCGTTTCGCCAAGAAATCAAGCAGCCAACTTTTTAATGGGTATGTGTATAGGTATGTATGTGAGTGTGTGTGTGTGTATGTGCTGCTAACTGTTGTGGTCGCCGGATTTGGGGAGGAGTGTGTAGTTAGGCAACCGCCCTATTTCGTAAACGCCATAAACACAGCCCAAAGTATTTCATTCGCATTCGGCTTGGCCGCCTCCGTTTCAAAGTCGAGATCGAGTAGCTCGCGCACTCGTTTCATGGCCACCTCGTAGTCATCGTCGTTGAGTGGCGCAAACGCGTTCTCGATGACATCACTGGCATGCGCTAGAAAGATAAGTGCCAGCATTCGCTTGTCCATTCGCTGTGCATCGTTCACCCACTTCGAAAGTACCGAATCCTGAATCTGTAATACATATACCAGTATGAGTGCATGTATTTGTGTTAGTGAAGTTGATGTTTGGTATGTAGCCAGTCTAACCTTCTTGACCAGACGACACTTCACCACATTGTCGCTGAGCGGATGTGTCGTCATGTCAAAGAGCAGAAAGTTTTGCTTTTCCGTTGTGAGCACACCTTTCTCCACGAGGTTCTTGGCCAGACGCTCGCGTACATTTTTTAGTTGATATCGCAACTTCAATGGATTCCAAGTTTCGCCTGAAACCATCAAAGTTTAGCGAAAAATTTGTATTTAGGCCTTGCAAGCAAAACACTCACCGCTCAGATATTCGATCCAACTTTGGACCGTCTCTGGCGGATCTGTCTCCTTAATGTGTTTCAGCGCCTCATCCAACAAAACATCGCCAGTCTGCTGATCCGATTTCAATATCAGTTTTCTGCAACAATGACAGATTAGTTTTGCTTATGATCGAATACCCTTAGTCTGCTCCGCTTAGACACCTTGTACATAGGCCACGTCGTCGCATGCCCGACTTCTCGATCATCACACGTCCGCGCAGGCCCAGCTCTATGAGAATGCAACCGCGTAAGCCGCTTGATATGCAATCATTCCAGAAGGATGTGTAACCCTGATTCAAATATATATATAAAAGGTTTTACATGTTAATTACAATAATAATTATTAAGTGAGAGTAATTAATAAAGATGATGATTTTAAAGCCTAAATAAAACGCTTATTTCCAAACTTTGGAAAAACTGGAAAGCTCAAGCAGTAATCAAGACTTTTTTTTTTTATAAAAAGTTCCCTAGTACCTTTACATTAACCAATAAAATTACAAACTAATAAGTTCTTTGAATAGAAGTTTTAAAGCATTTTTCATTTTATCAATGCAAATTAAAATATGATATAAAATATTTATAATGTGCAAATACTTATTATATTTAAGTTGGAAGGATTTTTTTAAAATGTCAATTGAGTGTAAGATAAAACATGTTCATGTCGAATGAATATCAGAGTAGAAAGTAGGCTACGTTGTTATGTGCCCAAAATACTCCCGACTTTTCCAGCTGCCGATGGCAACTGTTTTATGTTTAAACAGTTGAATTTGTAACAAATGAATTGTTTAAACTGAAATGAAATGTATTACGCAGCCTATAAGTGGCGGCTAACGAGCTACAGAACTGGAAAAAGTAATTCGATTTGATATGATATATATATATATATATATATATATATATATATATATATTGCGCACGTGTATGAGTCACTGAGTGAGCGAGTGCCACAACTTTGTCTTCTTTCTTCATATCATTTGTACTCAAAAGCCTGCAACAATTTAGTTGTTGACATTATGTGCGATAAGTACAGAAATATAAATAGGGAAGGGAGCAAACAGAAGGCAACTACCACTTCCTCAAATAATTAGCTAAATGAAAAAATAGAACTGATAAGAAGGCCATGGAACCAGCAGAAGAACGAATCCATTCTAGAGTTGAACAAAACGATCAGAGCAAAACACTCAAAATGACACGTTTAACTACCAAGGCGGCAACTGCTTGATGGGTGGGAGTGGGGGTGGGGATGGTGTTGTGGGGTGTGTCGTGGGTCTGGAAGCAAAACACACTCACTCACACGCACGCATAGAGAAAGATAAAACACAAAGGCAAATAAAATACAATGCGATTGCATGAGCGAAGGCGAATTGAGAACTATTTGCATGCCCTATACGGGCACGTATGGGCTATAGAGCCATAGGCATCACCAAACATGTGCCAAATTTATGCGTATGTCGTTATTATGCAAATAAAGAAAGAAAACGAATCAGCTGAATGAGTGAAATACCTGCCAAAACTTGTTTAAAATTTTGACTTTAGGCACAGCATCCAAGGGCTTGGAATTTGAGTTTTCAACGTATAAGAGTGAAAGCTTTTCTTTCTAACTAGTTGAATAAGGGCGAGCAATCTTATTTACTTGAAGCATTTGGGCAATTGAATAGTTAATCAAAAGTTGTGATGTACATATGAGTTTAATTTCAATTATGCCACTTGGCAATCACAACTTTCTCACTTGACACAAACACAAGTTCGTTTTGCCACACTGTGAGGCGAGAGAAGATCAACGGCGAAGGAGACCAAAGCGTGTTTATGATAGCAGCACTGCTGCTAAACTCGTTCTCCGTCGATTGTGTACACTAAAAACAGCCGCAGAGTTTGAGCTTTAAAGTTTATTGCACAATACCAACGAAAACAAAAGGTAATATGATTAATACGACAATGCGCTTTGAAGTAACCCAACATGAGGCAATAAGCAGGCAACAAGGGTTGAGCTTTATTGAGCAGCCAACTAATGGCTGCTGAATGCGAATAAGGGAAAGAGCGAGAAGTAGCCAAAACAGAAAACAATAACGGAAGCTACTTATTAAAATGTTGCGTTTCGGTTGGAAACTTTGCTGTGCGAAAAAGATGAAACTGAGAGCGTTGAGGCATATGTACACAAGTTATACTAATTAAAGATAAACGATAATTGGTAACAGGTATATGTGTGCAACTGATAAGCCCTCTTATCAGTCAGCAGGCACGCACGAACCTCTTTATCCTTAAGGCCAAGCAGCAGCACCTCCTCCATGAGCGTAAGTCGTGTCTCCTTTGAGTCGCCATCATCAATGTTATCCTCCTGATCCTTGTTGTTGTCGAGCGCGTCCTGATTGTCATCCGGTGTATTCGCATTCAACCCACTAGCGCCACCGCCCTCGGCTCCGTTCTCGCGTGGCTTGACAGCGCGCCTAACCAAGCCGTCGCTGCGATTCATTGTGTTTATAATTCTTAGTGATTTTTTTTTGTATGTGTGGCACAATTGTTGACTGAGCTGCCACCTGCCTCCGCTTTGCTGATGTGTATTTGTGTCTGTGTGTTTACGTGTGTGCGTCTGTGTTGTTACTTTGTATTATTATTGTTCTGCAAATGCTGCCGACTTTTTTTTTGTACTTTTGTCACACTTATTCCACTTGTTTTTTTTTTTGCACTAAGAGATGCACCACAATCTACGTCGCCTTCGTTGTTGTTTATCTACTTTGTTAAAACTCTACAATTTACGTTGACAATTTTTTCGAATTAATTAAAAGCAGATACTAAATATACAATTGCATATTTTATATTATTTTGTATCTATTTAAATACTTGCGCATAATGAGCTTTATAATATATTTTTTGTGTCTTTTCTGTTTCTCCGACGTGACATTTTTCGTCTAGTGTTGATCAACGTCGCGCACGCTGAACTGAATCATAAGCCACGGTCGAAGTATTTGTTACACCACAATTGAGGCTGCATTTGTAAGTCAATAACATCAATACTAATTATGGTAGTTTTTTTTAGGTCAACGTATACACTTCTGCTGCTGAAGATGCATTTAACTGGAAGTGTGGACAGAATAACAGCTGTTGACTGGCTTTTGGTGTTTATCAGCACTGCTGTTGCGCCAAATTGTGAATGACCAGTTTTAGGTGAATGTCAAAGAGCAAGGCAACTGTGGGTGTATAGTTAGAAAAATTTTGTTTGTGCAGTTGGTTTAAATAAAAAAACAAAAGAATAACTCGTTAGACATGTCTTATCTAAACAGTTTTAATAATGAGAGTGCAAAACAAATACTTATGGACATAATACGTACAGTGAATCAGCCAGAGAACTCAAAAAAACTATCGGAAGCAAAAGCGTCGGCTGGCAAAGAAATGATTCTTATGATGCAGCATGTTTTCCCTTTGGTAATGCAGCTCCAGCTGGAGGTGATCAAGGTGCACGGCTTTCCAGGCAATCGTGAGGGTCTCGTTCAGTTCTCACAGCTTATACGGGAAATGGAGCGTGACGACATGGAAATTGCACGCCTGCGTAGCCAGATACGTGCCATATACCTGCCACCGATCGCTATAAATACTACCAACGATATACTTATCTAAATATATATAGCTTATACTAAACACATTTGAGACTGCAATAGATTTAAGTAAACAATCTTTTGTAAATTGTATTTTGGGTTTGATGTACATCATTTTTACATACATACATGATATTCTATCCAGTACATTGTATGAAATAGCCGAATACAATCTTATTTTACCAATTATCTGAGAGTATGGTTTCAGCCTAAGTAACATGGCATATCTATTAAATAAACAAGAAATAAAGTATTTTGCTCTTGCATTGGCTTAGAAAATATTGTGTTTTGTTCATACGCATGATATGTCCATAATTAAACAGCCAATTGGCGGGTGATAAATTAAAGAAATTTCTTCAATACCTAATTGTAAATAACTTACAGACTACGCTTTTTAATAGTATATACACGTCAAGAAGGAAGTACGGAGCTGCCTTTTCACAGTTGGTGTCCAATGAACTAAGAAAACATACATATATAAGGCGAGAGCTTAGCTTAGACTAACTTTGAGAATTAGGAGGCCAGAATCCATTCTAGCGGTTCACATCACCGTGTGAGCCATTGTTGGCCTGCACATTTCTATTTTGAAAGTCATCTGCAGTTAATTTGACTGGATTGATATGGGTTGTTAAATCATTGCCATTGAGCTTGTGCCCCAAATGGTGCAACTGGTCGGCAAAGTGCGCGTCCTCCACGCTTTCTACATCATTCGTAATTGACATGGACATAGGGGAGCGTGGGGTAAGCGGCGTACGTGGCGTATTTGCGGCACCCAGCTCCTCGATGGTTGAATCGCTTTGAGTCGACGGCGAGCTGGAACGCGACCGTACTGGATATGCGTCATCCAGCGGCAGCGCAAAGCCCTGCGTTATCAGCAGATCGCCAATGTTCACCTCTCCGCCTTCAGTGGGATCGAATAGCTCGACACCGGGCAGAGGTGTGCCTTCTCTTGTGGCTGCGTTGACAGCACTTGTGACTTTTGGACGCTCCTTGTAGGTAACAACACGAGCGATGAGCTTGCGCCAATGGGCAACTGTTTATTAAAATCGAGAGTAAATTAATAAGGATTTTAAATTCGAAAATCAACAATTACATACCCTCAGTGAATTCCTCGAATTTGGATATTGAAGCCTTCTGCCAGGTGTTCGGCTCATCTGTAATAGTTGACTTAACGTTTGCCAAGAAACATTCAACTGCTTGAAATCTGGAAGTTTTTAAAAGGGGCAGATAATGTAAAATACATACATAATATAATCTAGTATATATACTGACCTTAGTGTTAGGAAATCGGTGCGCAGCTCGCAAATATCCGCTGGCGAGATATATTCACTGTCACCATAGTCCACAAAGTACAAATCGATGACCATCTCATTCGGATTGTACTGATTAGGCATAATGTCCACAATCTCGGCGCGATACCATTTCTCATCGAACTTAAACACGGCGGCCACAATTTGACCCACATATGGTGTCGTGAGCTGATGCTTAGCACGATTCTCGGCACTGCTGTAGTAGCTGGTCATTTCCTTGACCATGTCGTCCAGCTTCTTGGACTGCGGTCCCACCAACTGCACCCAGAACTTTGTGGGAGAGGCAACGGCCGAGACGTACACCTCCATGGGCTTGTCATCACCGCGGGCGGCCAACAGTTTGTCTCGGGGCGGCTGGGAGCTGAGCGATGTCTGCGACGAGTACATGCTAGATGTAAGACTGTAACTGGGGGAGCGGCGCGGCTCGCGATGCTGCTCCACCTCGTCGACAGCGATACGCAGCTGTTCGTCCTCCTCGATCTGATCGTCGAGCAGCTTGCGGGCAATGTTCACCTGCCTCTGGTTGCCAACGATGCTGATCTTGGCCTTGCCATTGCGTCCATTTGGATCTACGCTGAGCTTGGCCAGCGAAGCACGACTAATGTCCTGAATTATCTCGCCGCCACGGCCATTGATCTTGTTGGCCAGACGCTGCGGCACTTGTAGCTCCATTTTGACTAGGGGCGCACGCTCAATCTCCTTGATAAGCATCACACGCGCCGCCTTGACCGCATCTGGCAAGCCGTTAATGTCGCAGAATTTGTGAGCATTGTCCTTGTCGCTGGGGTTAAATATTATATATTACTAACGATATACAGTTTATTCTGCACATCCAAAGTGTCTTTTCTTTCATTACTTCTTTTTAATCCGTAGATTAAATATTTACCGTAATCTTATCTTTGCCCCAGTTCTTTCTTCAATTAGTTTAATGTTGGCGCCGCCGCGTCCAATTATCAACGGCACATGGTCATTGTCCACAACAATCTTCAGGCAGATTTCCTTCTGCTGTTGCTTTTGTCGCTGCTGTTGCCTTTCTTCAGTTGTCCTTCGCTTGTTGTCCGCCTCCTCCTCCTTGTCGTCATTGCGCGTCTTGAAGTAGGCGTAGAGCATAGCGCTGCCCAGTGAACAGAGACCAAAGCCCAGTAGCAGTTTGTAGGTGGGCGTGCCGGCAAAAGGCGTATTGCGCAACATTCTGTATTTGATTGTATTTTTGTTTGATGGTTTGTGTGTTTGTAATTGTTTTAATCTTTCTTTTCGGGTTTGCTTGTTGGGCGCTGCAGCGTTGATGGCAGCTTACTTCAAGCTACAAGCAGAGATCAATGTAAGGCAAAGCTTTTCTCAAGGTTTACGATAAATGTTAACGAAATATTGCATGCACACGGGCCGCCCGTCTGGTGATTTACGGCTCAGTGAATCAATAAAAAATAAGACGCGACAATGAGCTTCTCCCCCTTCAAACACAGGCGCTGGTTTGTTCGATGAAGCGTGCCATTTTGGACCCTCTATTGTCTGTTATATAATTTTCTTATCACTAACAATTCGACAAAATGTTAATGAAAATTTGCAAAACAAATGAAATTTTTAATAATTTTTGGCAGACATATACACAAATGACAGCAGCAAAACAAATAGAATTGTGACGTTTGCGTTCACGTTTACACTACGCTACACAATTGAATCCCAAACTCACAGAAATAAATCATTGTATTTACAGGGCTACGATTTTTATTACAAGAATTCTCAAAATGTATACAGCGACTATGACGAACATTTAAAAGAATTCGATTAGCATTGCTCGAACATTGTGTAGCACAATGTTTGTGAGAATGGGAAAGTAATAGCTCCATTTCCAGCCTAATTGGATCACGTAATTACCACGGTGTACCGTATTTAAACATAACAAATCAACACCTTATTTCTTGAATCACGTTTCGCTTGGAGTTTTTGAACTTGTCCTTCGACAAGTGGAACCAGTTCATGAGCTTTATCTGAGACTGGTTGAACAGCTTTAACTGAGAACTGTGTGTCCACCGGAAAAATATGCTGCGAGCATTTCATTTCATTTTTATCATGTGTCAATGATAAAATAAAAAAAATTGGAATGAAATACAAATTCTTTTGCAAGCTGCGCTGACCTTGATATTGAATTTAAGTATTGAGTTTAGTTTTGTGTCGTGTAGTTTGCCTAAGTTCAACCGTGCGTTTTATTCGATTGCTTGGAAATCGTTTCGTTTCGTTTTAATTTAAGTAATGAGCAGACAATACAAATCGACAAAGCGCAAGCAGTTGCTTGTCCGGCTCGTGTCGCTCAATATAGATAACTGTTGCAATAATTTAAATTTCGCCTCAGCAGACGCCGTGCGCTCAATGGCGTCAGCTGTTTGGCAATTCTCTCTCTCTCTCTCTCGGTCTTCCTCTTTCAATCGTGCTCTGTTTCATGCGAGCACACAAGCACAAGCTGCCTGTTGTTTTCATTGTTTACTTTGCCGGCTCATTTATGAGCAACAACTGGTAAACATAAATATGATTTGGCATAAGTAAGGATTGGGGAATGACAGAAGCAATTAAAAGCGTGCGACAAAAATATGGAGAGTGAGAGCGCATTTTGTCAGAGAGCTTTGAACGCGTATGTACGTGTGTGAGCTGTGTGTGCTAAAAGCTAAATTTAGTTAAATGACATAATAAGCCTTTCGTTGAGTGTTTGCATTTTAAGTTAAGTTTAGTGCTCAATAAAAGGATGCTAACGGAAAAGTCAAACATGCGTTGTTGTCGCCTCAATTAAGCTATTATCTACATAGCGACATATGCGTAATAAGATAAGTTATAAAAATATTAATTTCAGATAAGAGTTATTACGATAGCATCATTTAAAATCCATATATTAATTTAACATTTTCAAGGGTCACGCGCTGATAATGCCGGAATTGTTGGCAATGTTTCAATTTTCGCAGTTCGCATTGTTGCTGAACGCGGCGTGTTGCTAAAATAAAACTAATTCAAAAACAACAAATTATCGACGTCATTTTCAGACATTTAAGTTTGCAAGGTATTTTATATTTGGAGAACATCAAGCGGTCTTTCTGGTCTATTATTAATATTCGTATAAGCTTATAAGTATTTTCGACTAGGCGCGTCCATGAGCAAAACTCGGCGATATTAACATTTTCAATTTGCGTGCTGCACTCACGATTTAAAATTCTAACTAAAACCAGCAAAACGTGAATTTCATAAACTCCCGCACATACACAAACAAATCAATGAAACCGAAACCAAACAAGAGCCAATAGTAAAAGTGCTGGAAGGGTATGCGTATAAAGCATGCGTTGATTGTAATATTTCTGATTGTCGCCAAGTTGCACGGCTGCACTCTTACTTGGACTTGTTTTTATCACTTTGTGAAAAAATGGCAGAACAATTAATTTGGATAACGTATAGATTGTATCACAATAGTATTTAACTGGAAGCCCAACGTTAATAGTTTAGCAATAAATGTATAATTAACACCAACTGTGATCTACTTATAAAAACGTGTGAAATGGAATTGTATCAGAATTCGGCATTTGTTCAATCGAACTAGTCGTTGAACTGAATGAACCGAGTGATATTCGTTCATATATTTAGTTCGTTTATCACAAAAACAAAAACCATATGTTTTTAAAGAACATTAACCTAAAATGTAATAATTTAAGCTGCAAGTGCATATTTCCATTAACGGATTTATAATTTTGGTAATGTAGCATAAAATAGCACATTAATAGAACTGTACAATTCGATATTTTAAAGTAAGTTAAACAACTACGTCAATCCGTCGAGCAGAATTAAATATAGTTATCGATAAGCTAACCGATAGGTAAATAGTCTTTCATGCGAGTGTTGCAAACGTATGGAATTATTTAAATTTTAAAATTGGCGCCAAGTGCTTTGGCTGTTTCGCTTCGTTATGTATTTGTGTGTTTTCCTTTGATCTAGGTTAGTAAAAAATGCAATTGAGCAGCTAAAAGCTGTAGGTCATAAGAAACTAAAGCTACAGGCTCATCAGCCGTGGTCTAAGTACAATGAACACTTATCAGTTTAAGGCGAACCATATGGCGTGGGTGTTTGTTTGTGTTGTAGTTCAAAGTCTGGCAGCAGCTAGGATATATCACGCAAAGCATTCGGCTTGATGCCGTCCATGTCAAAGCAGCGACAATTGCAGGAGGACACAGGACATTCAGGATTCTGCCTGCAAACGCAAGGGGGAAACGATTAATAACTGCTTGGGGAAAAGTATTATGATAAACTTACTTGAACCATTGCAAAATGTGCTCTGTGTGGCCACCGTGGCGACACGTCTGACACCAGGAGAACCACTTGGAAAAGGGTTTCATTTGCCAGCTGCCCTGTAGCTCTGTGGAGCTAGTCTCGCTGGCGCTTGTATTCATGATGGTGCCCATGTGCATCAGGCAGAGCGAGCAGCGCGGCAAGGGCTTGCGGCAGCTGGGGCAGGAAGATAAGCGATTTGTGCTGGTGCTTGTGCTTCTTGGACGCGGTTCATCGAGCAGCGCGTTGGACACGGATTTTCCACAGAAATTGCACGATAGGTAAACGGTACGCGAGCTTCTCGCTGAGGCGCGCATGCTCTCTATTTTTATATCTAGCTCGGCCCGCTTCTCCCACAGACCCCAGCTGTTCAGATAGTCTAAATAGCTGGATATCCAGTACTGGATGCGATTGTCCGCCTGATGCTCATTACGGAAGTAATTTATGGCCACCAGAGCCACTGTTTGCACATCAAAGCTGGCGTCCATGTAGGCCTGCAGTATATTGATGCCATCTAAGGATTCGCCAGTGAGCAGCAGTCCGTTGAGATCGCCGCATTCGATGGCGCGCTGTATGCGCTGCTTGATATACTCCGTCAGCTTTGTTTCGGACAGATATTTGCAAGCGAAGGCCACGCGATCTGCCAGCGAGACGCCCTCCTCTCTGAGCACCGCATCAAAATTGTCCGCTTCCATTGTTAGGAATGAGAAAATGGCCCTCAAGTGCGGATCCTGTATCTGCATGTTGGCACTGGAGCGCTGGTTGCGCCAGGTCGAGCTGCAGCGATCCGCATTGAAGCTGGACAACGCGATCGCCGTTATCCGATACATGCTCGGATCGCGCATCTTGTCCGCCGCCCGAGACAGTATATTGCAGGCAGTCAGCACCTTCAGATGGAACACGCAGATCATCGCCGCCCGACTGAACTCCTTGTTCGCATAAAGCTCATCTATGAAACGGTCCAGCTCGTGCTCAAATGACCAGCCGCACAGCTGCAGGGCCAAATCCCGCTGTTCGCTGCTGCAGAAAAGAGGCGAAAGATCACTTTAGTTGCTGCTGTGGCCATTTTGTGCTTATCACTTACCGATAGGAAATGAGTTTGTTGGAGTTGTTAATGCCATCGGGCCACTGCAGCAGCTGCGACTCAATGCGCGAACTGGCCATCAACGCCTCCGAGGTGTGGCCCAGATTGATGCCTAGCGTGGCCTTTAAACCCGCCAAGCGCTCCTCGCAGAAGACATTGATTAGAGTGGCCCACACATTGCGCAAATACGGGCTCAGATGTAGTTCAGCAAATCGTTTGTTCTCGGGATTTATGCCGTAGTCCTGCAGTGCTCGCTGTCGCGTCTCCTCCAACAGATCCTCCTCGAAGAGCTCGCGTTGCAGATAGTCAAGGCTCAGGGAGGACCCGACGATGTACTCATTGAGAGAGCTGGCGGCACTATTCGAACTGCAACTGCTCGTCGTCGGCTGTTGGCTGTCCGTGGGCGAGCTAACAGCGGCAGCCGCATAAAGCGGACGTTGCATGAGCAGCGGCAACTTGCTCCGATTACTGTACGCTGTATGCAAGCTGGCAGGCAGCCGAAAATCTAGAATATTCAGCGCATCCGCCAGCAGCAGCGCCCGCTCGAAGTCACGCGGATGCCATGACAGCCAATTGACAGCGGCAAATTTACCACTGTGCTGATACTTGGCCGGGAACGGACTAATTTGCCGCTTTACGTGGTACACCTCCCGGCTGGATTCGTTGTCCACGCTACGTATGTCGTAGAGCGTAATATAGGGCGAGTCGCGCTGGAGCGAGGACAGCAGAGACGTGCGCGTTGGGCACCAGCCAATCTGCATGTGATTCCGCGAGGACTGGATCTGGCGCAGCGGTCGCTCAATGGCACGCAGATCCCACAGCATAATGACCGAGTCCACATAGCTGCACAGATAGTTACCATTGGGCGCCACAGACAAGCCCTGCACCGTCTTTGTCTGTATAGACTGGCAGGTGGCGTTGCTCTCTGAAAGATGCGAGTATCAAATAGAGTAAAGCGATACCAGCTTGGATTATTTAATTCACTTACGTCGCAGATCGAAAAGCTTAATCAGTTTCTGGCTCATGCCCGCTATGAGCACGCGGTGATTGTGATCCCAGCACAGAGAATTGGCTGCTTCGGCCATGCCAAAGAAATTAGCTGTTTCCTTAGGCACGCCGCGCTCAATGTCCCAGATGGTGATGCAGGAGTCGGAGCGATGTCGGTCGTGGCCAATGGCCAATATGTTTGCATCCAACTCATTCCAGGCCAGGCAGGTGCACATGCGCTGCTGCCGCGGCGCTTTAAGGGATGAGGATAAAGTTGATAGACAACATATGCAACAAAGGAGTCTCAAATTCTGCCTTACTGTACTCCCAACTGCTCTCGTAGGTGTCCCGAAAGTTGCAAATGCCAATTTTGCCATCGGCCAGGCCAACGGCGATAATTGGCTGGTCACTGTGATAGGAGGTGGCCACGCATCGAGCGTATTGATAGCGCGTTTCGTTCGAAAGAAAGTTGACGGGAATGTAGGGCAGGCGGCTCTTCTGGGCTGCCAGGTCGTCCTTGCTACGCACTTCGTACAAATTGATTTCCTGGCCCCATGAGACAAACTTGTCGGGGAAGTTGGGAAACCAACTGATGCCGTGTATGTTGCCGCTCATGTTGAGCTTTTTTTCGCCTTTATTTGCACAACCTAATTGCGTCGCTTCTTATCAGTCCAAAAAATATCCAAACAACAAAACAGCTGATAGAGACAGTAGGGATGGGCTACTTTAACATTCTGTTAAGAGGAGAGATTTGAATTAAAGTGTGGAGTAATTCTGTTAATCAATAACACTAGCTGCGACTATTTAAGTCCAGTTCTATGATGATAATCATTTAATCATATTTGTATTGAATTAAACGCATATAATATGTATTTACTTACAAACAGGCAGCTACGAAAACACTTTTAATGTACTTCCCTTACATATCCATCATTATTAAAATGCCTCCGCCTTGTTTTGAAATGAAACCGGTCTATTTGTATTGTTTTCCAACAGCTTTCTAGCAGAAGCTAATAAAAATCTGCGAAATGGAAAGTACATATATATATTTTAAGCATTTATGCAAATTGTACGGGTTGTGAGCCAGCTTTAATTATTATTTGTTATTTAATACCCTCGCCAGCGGATTGTATGCTAATTTTTAAATCCGAAAAGCGGTGGTGTCATATCACCATAAACGGGACCTTATTGCATAGCAGTCAGCTTTAAGAACCAAATGTGGCTGATGTCATTGCATCATCAAAGAGTACGGTACAATTATGATGTGTTGCATAGCATTTAGCTTTAATTTATGGCTTGTTAGCTAACAGCTCTGACAGCAGATGGCGCTAGCATGCAAGTTTGAATAGAAAGCCGCGTACATTTTGGTTAGTTTTACCATGTGGCCAGCGGATTACCCATTGAACAACGTACTCCTCATCTATTGTTTCACTCGAATGCCCACATATGTAACAGACAGAGCTACACGTTGCTTTATAAGGTGCGCCATTGGGTAGCTACTCAAGCGTAACAACATTAAGAATACATAATTGGCTTGGATATGTGTTCAAAATGAATTTGTACATGCAAGCCAATTATGCTCTTCAGAGTTCTCATTGCCAGTTTCAGTCTTCGTTCTTTTTGTTGTCGCGGCTTAGTGCGAAATTCGCGTATTTCATGCGAAAAGTCGCATATTTATTGTGGGATTTACGAGTGCTGTCATGGCGCTCGCTCATAAATTAATAACAATATGTAATTTCGTGCTGTGTATTGATTGAAATTGTCATAAAAGCATCACGTCAATTCAATTGCAAAAAATTATTCAACAACAACAACAACGCAAGCGGATCGCTTTGTGCAAAAACAAACGAACGCAGCTGTGTCGTGCGGTGCACAGCGGAAACGGAAACAAAGCAGCGTCAAAAATGGCGGCCCATAATGCGCTGCCCCACCCCCACCCCCCCAGCTGTCGGGTCACATCCAGCTGGTCAGTAATGTCATATATCCATAAAATATCCAATCACACTCATCTTCACTTTGTGCGTTCGCTTAATTGATTTCGTTTGCAAAAGGATACCAAATAATGGCAAATAAAAAAAATACCCATAAATATTCATATATATGTTATATAAAGAAAATTACAATTATGCCCCGGGGTGCTCGTCAACTAATTAACATTGAAATATTTTCGACTAATTTCAATTGTGCATTTTGTTGTCTGTATGCAAAAAATTAATAATTGAATATGAAACACCCGGTTCGCGATTCCCGATTCCCGCTTCCCCGGTTCCCGCTTTCCCGGTTCCCGGCGGCTTCTCTTGCAGCTTTTCGATTTATGATTTATGTTACTTTTTGCCTTGGTCACATAAATTGTTGTGCCTGCTATTAAAATGGACGGATGCTGGCTACAAATCAGCGTAAATCACATTTGACTAATTTATACAAATCCTCGTGCTGCGCATTTCAGTTTTTATGCACACGCAACATTTATTCAAATATTAAGCGCTATTCGAATTAAAGTGTGTGCTTATTTTAAATCTGTTTTCAAATAGGTTGGCAAATCTGTGCAACAAATAGTTTATTCTAACTGAATGATGTCTTGTATATTGATGAATAATTTGTTAACCCCCAGAAATGTTGTGAGCAAAATGATTTTGAGCCGGATTTACAATTTGTTCTCTTTTAGAATCAAACCTTAAATCAAACCAGTTACCAAAATAAAATAAAAAAAAAACGGAAAAAACGAAATAATTAAGTTCAAAGTAACAGACACAGCACCAAAGCATCTATAACTAAAAACCCTTCGATATGAACATGTATGTGAACGGGCAATTTTAAGTAAACAGTTAAAAACACCTGTGTTTGATTAAATCCCTTAAAATATCTGTAAAAGTTTGAGCTAAAACCCTAACCGATCCCAAAGACAAGAACTAGGTATTAGCCATGATTCGAACCCAGGAACAGTTTTAGCTATGCAGGCTGTAAATGGGAACAGTCGACACGTTTTAAGAATCTAATGAAAATGAGGAATTTAAATATGATTTCTATTAAATTTGTTCAGCTCTCTCAGTATATTTATATTCACGTTAAGGAATCGTTTTTTTTCAATGGCTCAACTGACACAAAGAGCATATGGATATTATATGTCATTTGTTGCATATTTATGGGCCTCCGGTGGGGGAGAGTCGTATATCAATTTTGCACCGTTTAGCGCTGCGATGCTTATAAAAAGTAGAAATAAAAAACGATAATAATAATAATAACAAGCGCCAATGAAATTGCAAAATTAATGCCTTTTGTGTAAATATCTGGCATGCATATTTCATGACAACGCGCGACAAAGCCTGACAACCAACAACAACTGCTCGATTAGGAGATACCCTGTACTGAGCTCCGTTGCAAAGGCTGATCTTTTTGTTTTGGGTGCGAAATATTTGAAATTTTAAGTACACCTCACCCAATTTGATTTCAAATAATATATCTTTTTGATCTTAAGTTCCCGAAATAGCTGGCCTACATTTAGAATAAATGCATTAGAGATCAAGTAAAATTGGCTTGGGCAATTAATACTGTTATAAATATAATCAAATCGTAATACTTAATGCCGAATGGTTTTTATATTTAAATAGAATTTTTGAATCACTTTGGTTCAACTTTACCAGCTAACCTATTAATCTTATTTCAGTATTGCCCCGTTCGCGTATAGTCGCAGGATTACCCGTTAATGGCTACAGGGTATAACAGTAACAGTAATAACAACAACAACAACAACAGCGAGAACGACAAAAACTGTTCCCGAGTGAGCATTTAACTTAAATGGGTCGTGTCTTATGTCTCGCTTCGCTGTTCGTCATTTTATTTATGCATTATTTATATTTGTTTTTAAAATTCTCATTTTGTTTTTTCTGTGCGTGCCTATGTGTGTGATTTTTGTTGTTCTTTGGTATTTATCTTTTATTTTATTTTATCATTTGTGTGCATATTAAAAAATGTTTATTTATATTTATGCAGCAGTACGCAGAAAAACTGCACTCAAATGTGAAAAACGAAAAGAATTTTTGCGCAGCGCCTGTGCATATGCAACGTTTTGTCGCTGACATTTTTGTTCTCAATGTGTGTGCGTGTGTGTGTGTGTGTGTTTGTATTCGCATTGTTTGTCGCAATGTTTGCACTGAGTGCATCTCAGTGACATTTCTTATAACGGAATTTATCAGTTTGTACAAATATTTTCATATTTATTATTCAAGGTATTCATAGAAAACTGTCAGTCCAGACTGACTGACGGACTGACTGATTGACTGATTGATGATTGAGCCAGGAAACTGCCAATTTTGATTAAATTTATCGCATTTTATGTTATGGCCTTAGCACAAGTGTGGAAAATAGCGAAAAACGGGCGTAGAATATTTGAGTAAATTTATTTGAGAGGTGTTTCACACGCTTTGGAAAATCCCTTACCTTTACAAGAATGAACCGGGCGGAATAGTTTGATTCTAACTTTTGGTTGGGACAAGGCCGGGGAATTTCCGTCTCTTGTCCAGACTTTTCTCCTGTTCTGCTGCTTATTTCTTCAATATGCATTGCAGTTATTTAAAAGTTACTTTCTATATATATATCATTTGCATCATCTTTTGTTTGCACTTTGTTTGCGCATAATTTATCCATTTTATTTATTTCATGTAAAAATAATTTTTCGCATTGCTTTTAGGTTCAGCGCCAATTCAAAATTTATGTGCCTATGTGGCAGACACAAATGCGACAATGCGACTCGTTTTCTCTTTATTTATGGTACGAGGCGAGGGTAATTTCAAAAGTATGCACTTCTTTTCTATTTATATTTATATTTTTATTTATGAATTTAAATTATAAGAGACACATTTTCAAAATTTGCTTTATAGTTTTCGATGCCAATTCTGTTTCAATTCTATTCCAAATTCTTTTTCTCCGGCTTGATTCTTTTTCCTAATTTTTTTTCTTGCGGTTGAAGCGTCCCATGTTGGAAGTTCCTAGTATGGAAATAGTATTAGTTGCTTTGTGGAAGTCTTCTCTTTTCCAATTACTTTTGTATTATTGCGACTTTCGTCTTTTCCCAGTTTTTCATATTCCCTGCTGACTGTTCATATTACTATTCCCACTGTTTCTGATCCTCAATTGTTTCAGAACTGTGCTATTTCCATTGTTCCCATGTGCAATTGCAGTTTATAACACTATGTCAAGTTCGACAAGCGCGTTTCGAACTACCCACGTGATATTTTTGCCTCCTCGTTGTTGCTCAGTTGTTCGCTTGTTTTGTTGTTGTTGTTGCTTTTGTTGTTGTTGTTGCTGTTGTTGTTGCCGATTCAACCCAACGTTGTCGTTGACACTTCCTGTTTTTGTTTTGTCCTTTGCTGTGCTCGAGTCGTGACTGGCGAATCGCGTTTTAAAGTGCAATTTTATGAGCCGTTAACAGCACATTATGTATATGTATTGCACACAGTCAGGGAGCGTACACACACACTCAAACGCACACACACACACACACACACACACACACACACACACACACACACAGAGCTAAAGCTACACCTTCAACCGCTCAATGCACTAGAGGGCCCGTAGATTAAGTTATTGTTGATTTGCAGATTTGACAATTTATTGAAGTAGAAAATTCGCAATTTTAAAAATTTATTGCACACCGTATGGGAATCAGGCGAATGGGCGTGTCCTT